TCCTCTCGGCCACAGTGAATGCCACGGCAGACTTTCCGACGCCCGCCGTGCCATGCAGCCAAATGATCTGACTCTTATCTCGCTTGTCTGACAATTCGTGGATGAATTTGAGAAGGCTTCACTCGGGTCCCTTCCAAACATTTCGGATGGGGCTGGCGTTCAGGGGAGTCATATTCAGCACCCAGGACAGCGACCTGGGACAGCTTCTCCCAAATTCCTTCGGCCATTGCTAGAAGCTCTGTCAGTCGGGTCAGAGAGCGAGAGAGGTGATAAGGGAAGCAGATATTCACATCTATCTCAGTCGCTTATCGACAGAGGTTGATGTGAAAATGCGACACAAAACGGGAGTTGGAATAGTTCAAGTCGGGGAAGCACTGGTTCAGTTCAACGGTACAATTAGAAATCACGATGGGATGGATGCCTCAGAGGGGACGACATACGGCGTTGATTGAGGAGTCGATGTCCAAGCTGTAACTTCGTTTGAAATCAGAAGGGTTTCAGTGGTGATTGTGAAACGATCGAGCAACAGATATATCACAGGATGTTTGAGATATAATGGACGATTGATTTCGATTATATTCAGAGCTTGACGGATGGCTCGTGGTTGAACTTTGCGGTTAAGTTGAAAAGATAAACGGGCGCCGGGGCGACCTGACTCGGCTGAGTGTTAACGATATCCCGAAGCGTCATCTTGCAACCGGTGTGCTGGTTAAAGGGTTCAAATCATCGTCGACTAGATGTTCGATTAAGTTGAGAGTAGGCTTTGTCTTTCGCATTTAGTGGTATCATGATATTGTGTACCAATACAAACAGTACGAGTGTTCTGTGCCTTTCGGATGATTGGCATTGGCATAGTGACGTGTTTTATATCACGGACTTTGAAAAAATACTGGCGGCAATGCGACCCGCTTGCCTCCTGAACGTGAACGGTTCAACGTTAACGGTACTAAGTTCGCACTGTACAACCCAGTCTCGGACGTCAGACAAGTGGTAGCCTACGAGTCAACTTTTTATAGTCAGACTTGTACTAATTCCTGACAGGTTTGCGCATCGTTCTCGTCGTCAATTGACAATATCTATAGATTCACAGCGGTAGAACTTTTTGCACTCAGGAAATGGCTCAATTCACGACAAAAACCGTTACTTATCCGCTAGCAAAATATTCGCGGTCATATCCTACGAGCTCACCATCCACTCAGAACCTTGTTTCAGATGCAGAATGGCAACATTTCGTCCACCCCATTATTAACCTCTACTTGGACGCGAAGACTTCTTCTGCGGGAAAGCTTGTCTCTGTTCGACTTCGAACTATATGGAACTTTGATAGCAGCACTAATAGCACGGAGGTCGATCAAAGAGAGATTACCCTCGTAGGCTCTTACTGACGGATAACGAATCATACTAAAAAGCGTAATCTTCCAGGAGGATCTTGATTTACTCTCTTTCTCGTCGATCCCAAACTCGAGGGCGAATTCTGGGCAACCTGACCATGGTCTTCCTCTCAGAGCTGCCTATCGGGATACTGTCGTTGGCATTCGGTATTTGCACCCGAGAATAACAGACTCGACTTGTCAACCAGTACATATGTGCCGTTTCTTCCAAACATTTTACCAAGTTTTGTCTTAGGTATACCGGCGCTTTCAGATCACATTTACCACTGCAACGAGTGCAGCTCAGCTTATCGATGCCATCCGACCTGTCTGTCCTTGTAGATTGAATCCACAACCGCAGCCTCTGGTCACTCGCGTCCCCCCTGTAGCTACGACAGGCCTCATCGACGACGTTCCCCGTCAAGGTACTATACTCACAGCTGTTTCACAAGCTCTGCCATCGTTGGGCGGAACTCCATCCAGACTTGCGCCGACTACACTTCTTTCAGAAAATCCATCGTCCGAATCCAATTTACCGGCATTCGCACCATCGACGCCAGTTAGGTTTACTCCTGTGGCTTTGAGCAGCAATTCTACGAAAACGACATCCGTGGCTGCACCATCTCACAACGGCACCTTCGTTACACCTCCAGAAACACCTCCGATAGCCATCCCAAAGACCAGCCAATGCCAAGCACCGTCTGGTTCCATCCACTCTACCAAAGGCTCTGTACCTGATTCTTCCCAACCATCCTCGTCTACTCTCAGTAGTTCAAACACGATGCCCCCGCCTCCACTGCCCTCGAGCGTCACACGATCTCTTCAATCGGAAAGTCGACCATCAGAAGTTCGTAATTCAACTCGAGCCCAGCTTGTTGCATCACTGCATGACACTCCGGCCTTTCACAAGTTATCTCATACAGAGCTAGAATCTATCGTAGCGCAAGTCATCAGAGAGGAAGGTTTTGCCCAACTGGTAAGCGTTCTCCAAGTTGTCGAATCAAATAAACCATAACCCCAGCTAATTGGATCCCCCCGGCTTGCTTCCTTGGACACCATGTGGAGAGTGAAGGGCTTTTTTGGTCAATAATGCCTGACAGTCTTGAACGCTACCCATTTCTTGTTATCCTTTGAAATGTTGCCTTGTATATGCATAAAGTCCCTTTGATCACGGTCGTTACTTATCAAGCACCTATCTCATACATCGCTTCCATTGGTGTACCAACAACTTGCAATTCATGAACGCTTTCCACACCGATTCCTCTAAGTACCGTTCTGTTTTTCTAATGCCTGTCACTTCAATTAAGGTAGTATGGGGCGTGTCGTACGGTCGAAATCACAAGTTTCGAGCTGCTCCGGTGACGTGCCATTCGACAGTGTCGGAAACCGATTTATGCAGTTAGCGTATCATACGGACGACAGCGAAAAGGATCACTCAAGGTGAGCTTGGTCCGAATCACTAGTCAGCAGCATAGAGGACCTGAAACTTGGAGGTTTGGGGCTTTGGCTAATTTTTCGAATCGGCAGCCTCAACTACACCTCTATCCTCTCTTCATGATTGCTCACTTCCGACGGCAAGAAAAACACGTCCCCTCAGGAATATTGCATGGCATTGAAACTGCACATCAATATTCGGTCAATGGTGTGAGTGCAAATCAAGGATCGCCCAGCTGGCACATTCAAACTCTACACCTCTTATCCCCCATCTTCGCTTCAATCTACGGCAGGGTGGGGAGAAGTGTGGAGTTTGGAACATACTAATACTTACAAACAAATGTTGACCATATATAGCCTCGCTGCTGTCGCTGGCTTTGCAACAGCCAACAGCTTTAGCTCTGTAAATGGGTATTATGCTTGAAGAGTATTACCTTGTTGCGCGTCTTTGACGAGTTAAAGTAAAGCGTGGCAGGGCTGTGGCTGCGTTGGTCGATTTTCAGGCAACTTAATATTGAACAGTAATATTTCGCATCCATATTGCAGCCTGAGGCGCCAATGAGAAGCCCAGAATGTCCTTGATAACAATAACGTCTACATGGTATCATCCAGTCTAGCACTGACTTGCAATTTACACCACGCAGCATTGACTTTATACCCCAAAATGTCGAGCTCAAAGTCTACGGAAGGAGTAACCACTTCGCAAGAAGCTTCGGGAAATTGGGGGTCCCCAGTCCAGTAACTGGGTCCCAGCCAGGAACGGCAGTGTATCCAGCAGTGCCACATCCTTGATTTCCGCCCATGGTGATATCATTGAAAACGCCAGCAAAGCTAGGCGAGTAGATCTTCATTGCAACAGTCAGTAAAAAGGTAACGGTGATTTGAGGCGGACACTCACAGTTGGATTGATGAATCCTATCGGGCTCTTTCCAACTGCCAGACGGGCATCATTAACCATCGTCAAGATGGCACCACTAACTGGGGAAGAGCAGGACGTTCCATAAACCAATTCAAATGTACCATCAATAGCAACAACGTAATTCTGCCAACTGTTAGCATCAGCTGGTAGATCTTCAACGACGAGAACTTACGGCACCATTGGCAGCAATGTCAGGGAAGCCACGGGACTGCGACAGGAGATCGAGATTAGATGCTGTCATTTACAAACTATACTACTTGAGTAGCACGCACCGTTCCTGAGGCGTTCCAGATATCGGGAGGATACTGAGGGTAATAATTTGTCAGGTAGTAATCGACCGCCGTCTTCTGGTAATCAGGCATCGCAAAGTAGTTGCTGAAACCACCTCCAGAATAGATGACTTGTTCACATGCTCCTTCCGGCTCAAGGACCGTGGAATTGGGGTTGACCTGAGTGGCACCAACAGATGTGATGTAGGGGCAAGTTCCTGGGAAACTGGGGTTGAAGATCGTGCCGTTCAGGGAATAAGTTCCTATAAAGAAAATTAATATCTTGCCGCAAGCATGCTGAGAAAACTCACCGTTGGATGTCAGACAGTAGCCACCGTTTCCAGCAACTCCATAATCACCAGAGCTATAGAGGACAGTAACACCCATCAAGCCAAGTTTAGCATACTCTGAGCATTGACGGGCAGTATAGAAGGGCGTCAGATCAGCTTCGTTGTACGAATATGATGTCGAGATAACATTAGTAGGCTTTGCAGTGCCGCAATCTTCGGGGCCCTCATAGCCTCCGCCGTATGGGTCAGGATAAATGGCGTCTTGAGTTGGATCGTCTCCACCCTCAAAGGTGCAGTATGTGCCATCGATTGCGTCAAGGAAGTTGTTGAAAGAAGCACCTTCAGATATTTTCAGCAATGTCTCAATGCTACGTGGAAGCACTTACCCTCTACCATATCTCCAGCCTGATACAAGGTGATTGGCTGCGCGGCAGTGACGAGGTTCATCGCGTACTCAAGGTCAAGATCAGATTCACCGTTGTATTCGAAGCCAGTGTATTCGGTTTGTGCATAGCCTGGTGGAAGGATAAGTGTCAGAATTCAAAGAGCCATAATTCTAACGGACCTCCATCTATTGATACCATGTTGGGTGCAACTCCAACAAGGTCTGGGGAGAAAGTGCTTTGAAACATATCCAGGTCAGTTTGGAGGTAGGCCTGTGGGGTGTACTCCACTGTTTGCCGAGTCAACTTCGTGTGCCCAATATTACATCGTACAACTTACCGATCCCATAGCTATTCTTGTCCGCTGCCAGCGGCTCGTAAACCAATCCATACAGAGCCCTCAAACAAATTGGAGTGATCTGTTGGTCACAATCTTCTAGTTGATTCAAGAGACTCTGAACTTCTCCAGTAGTCTTTGGGTAAGTGCCCTGTCCTGGCTGTCCAACAGAGCGCGCGATCCCTTCGGGGGAATCGGAGGTGGAGCGCTTCGAGATTTTGGCGTCGAAATGTACAGTAGGGGTCACGAAGTCAACGTGAGACTGGACATGCTCAGGCAAGTGGTATGAATCACACGCTACATAACCGGTAAAGTTCACGAAATAAGAAGATTGAAAATACTACTCACCAACATGCTCGTGACCGGTTTCGTGACTGTACACATGGTACTCAGTCTGCAGGAGACGCTCAGCCTCCTCTACAGTGGCTTGGACTTCGATCCAACCTCTGTTACGAGTAAGCTTGGCACGGGAGGAATCAAAGCCGTTCTCTTCAAGCCAGCTGAGGACAGCTCCAATACTTTCAGTGCTGGGCGAAAACTTTCTGAAAACTTCTCCGGCAGTCCAATGTTTGCCATATGTCGCAGACTCTGGGTGAGAGACTTCCGTTAAGTAGTCACCAATCGCGTCGATGTTACTTTGCTTCAGAGCAAACCGCAGAGGGATGGCAGCCTCATTGTCGTGCTTCCGGTCGTATGACCATCCAGCGGGGATGTGCCCACGTCTCTCATGAACACGGTAAGGCGACAAGAATGAGTCGGCAGAGGCCAACAGTGCGAGTGCAAGAGCTACAAAGGATGGGAGTAGGCGCATGCTGGTGATCTCAAGCGCACCCACCAAGAAACCTTGTCGTAGATTTATAGCACCAGTCGGGAAAAAACGGCGCTCGAAATCCACAGAATCCCAGACAGAGATAACAAGACAACCATGCGGGCAGTCGCTACTCGACGAAGGACCCATATGTGTCGTGATGCCTAAGAATATCCATAAACCACACTTTTACCGATGGGTTGATTGAGATTGACCATGATATCCCCGACAAAATGCTGTACTCGGCTCCAAGTGGATCATTTTTCAGACTTGGCTGTGAAAGTGAGGTTGGCGGGCGCTTCCACATGATGAAGAGGTGAAGCGTGAGACTGCCTATTCTGAATCCCACATGAATGTACCAAACGCGGGCCCGCGGCCGCCTTGTGGGCTCAGGCAGGCTTACCATTGCCAAAATTTTCCGATTACTGCCGGGTCAGACTGCATGTGAGTTGGACCAATTCATGCCTATTCATGCCCATGGGCCAGGACAATAATAATGCTGGGCCGTCGGACCATGAGTGTGTAGGGCGGGTCCGAATGAGCCTCTTATCAGGAGCTAAATAAGCATTGGGTAGGCAAAGTAAAACCTCAAACTCACATGTTACATAAACAGGATGAATTACTGAGTTCCTTTGAGTATTTCGTGGTCTAATTGAATGAGCAAGAATGCTGGACGATTGCTCGTTCCAGGCTGGACAGGGTGGATCCTCGCAGTGCTATGACCTACCATCGTGGCAATCCACTGACTGGCAGTCCCGTTTGCTCCAGCCGTCGATAAGCCCTCAGTAACCAACACAACGACTTGGCGCTAAGATCATGAATCCCTTGCCAACAACTATGGTAGGACTTGGTGAAAGCCTTCACTTGGGAGGGGGTGCCAGGTTGTGTGCTCATTAATGCATTTCGAATGTGAGTTGAGACATTATAGTGCAATTACGAAAGGACACGGTGAATGCCGCTGTCAAGAATCGAGTCTTTAAGCTTTAGCGCTTCAGCACTTTTTCAATACTTCCAACAAAGTCAATCATGTGGCAACTGTTTGATTAAATATTAAACGATCGCCGCCACCAGAACCCAACATATAGCCCTTCATAAATATTAATATATTCCGCATCAACAAAAATTGTCCCCTCAAGCATGATAGATACGCCCCCTCTGAGAGCGAAACGCATTATCAATACTCTCATACGCTGGGGGGGCCTCGCCCGCCTCACTCTCCATTCCCGACATTAGCCGCTCATACTGCGTGCTCCGGCCCACAAGTGTTTGCACGAGCGGCCCGCTGTGCCCCCCCGGCGAGTAATTCTCTGTAGACGACGACACGGTGGAGTCGATCGAGTTTACGCGGTTCAATGAGATGGGTGTGTGCAGTTCGCTATCGTCTGGACCGCAGTGTGAGGCCCTGAGGTCGCATGGACAGGATACACGTTTGCCGTCAAAGTCTCGTTCTAGCACCTCGTAGTACCTAGGTAGAGATATCCACGCTGGGGTACAGTGACACTGGAAATACGACTTGTTCAAAAAGGTGTGTTGAAATGGAACATATACAAAGAACTGACGGATAATATGCGCACAGGCATTTGGACGAGGATGTCATATAACTTCGGCTTCTTTGTCTGCGGGTCGGTCGCCTCGTGATCGCCACGCTCGACGCGAATGACAATCTTAAGTGTGTGGTTGATAGTGATGTTGCTCTTCTTGTTCCGATTGGAGAAATGAATGAGGGAGCAGTGTTGAGGAAGCTGCAGTTCCTGGTGGAATGCCCATGGCCCTGGACCCATGACAGCCATGGCCATCTCATTCTCATCGTCATGAGCGTTCAGGAGTTGGTAAAGAGGTGACTTTCGGAATGCCTCCGGGTCGTCAGAGATGAGAGGGAGTAACGGGTGGCTCTCGCCCTCAACCTCGTTTTCGAGCGAAAGCAAAGGTATTCGATGTGCAAGCTGTGAGCGCACGAGCCGCCTCGTTTGCGTGTGGTAGTCAATTCGTTCTGCACAATTCAGGTTCCATAACAGGCAACCGCAACTGAGCTACTCACCATCGATGTGGACGGATATTCGATGCACCTTGGCTTTCGTGAAAGGAATGATCGTGAGATCAATGGGTATAGTGCCACCAGTAGGAAATCTGCGTCCTGATACTGCTATCAAATACTGCAGCTGGGACTCCCACTGACGCTCGATGATGGTATTTTCCGAGTCCTCGGTATCGTCTTCAGAAGGTGCTGCAACTACAAGGACTTCGCGTTGTGCAGTCAGCTTTTGCGTGAACGCACCAGGTCGGTGCACTTCAGCCTTGAGTCTCCAAATCATAGATCCGTAATCGCATTCGATGGTGGGAGGCGAGTTGTTTGGTATAGTAAATGAGATGGGATAGGTATATGTTCCTTAGAGCGAGAGTAAGCACGCAGCCGCATGAAGCGATATATATCGAAACCCACCTTTCTTGAATTCCTTCCAACCTTCCCCCACCTCTTTATGTTCTTCTTCCAGCCCTAGGAGTTCTCCTACTTTCCCCAAAGCAGAATGATGCTTATGTTTATCACTTTCATGTGGGGGTTGCTCCGGCAACTTCCCCTTTCCCCTGTCCAGCGTCCTCCCTCGTTCGCCATCACGATTGATACTCTTGCTTCTCCTTTGTGATTCAGCACGCGGGGAACGCGACCTCACACGCTCAACCATCGTGTCAATCACATTGGCAACCGTGTGGAACGAAAACCGGGAATATTTTCTCCCACGATCCTCATGTGCTGCAGCGGTATTTGAGGCGACGGTTGAACTCTGCGTTGGATTCTGCGACTCTGCAGGAGATGTACGCGTGCGGGAACTGAATCGGGATGACTGTGGAGACAACTGCTGGGTTTCAGAGATATCTTCAATACTTGGTCGACGCGAGAGGGGAACATCGCGGTGTGAGTATATACTTGACGAAGAAGACCCAGCAGTCGCATGGAATGAACTACGATGACCTAGACACGTAAGGTGTGTAGACATGAGCAATCAAAAGCAGTTAAAAATGACATACTCGGTTGGCCTGCCTCTATATTATTCACAAGCGCTTGTCGAAGGTCTTCAAGCGTCTGTGCTGGACTGTCTTCTGGTTTTGGATGACCAGAAGATTGAGAAACCGAATCCGAGTGGGTGTGCGAGGGAGAGGGACGATGATCTGCAATCGCCGAAGGGGAGTTCAGGGGTGGACTATAAGGGGGAGTGGGAGGAAGGTGTATAGTGTCTTGGTGGAGAGGTGTATGAGTGTCATGTTGCAGAATAGTGTTGTCGCTGAAAGAACGCCTATTTATCGAGGAAGGAGGTTGACGCGGGTCCATGCTAGCGCTCCTGGTGTAGAATGTTGGACTTGGAAGGCCATTAGGATGAGGCGCGTGTTGTGGAACGGAACTGTACTCTCCGGGGTTGACTTCATCATGGGCGTGGTCATGGTCGTAGTCAAAACCTGGAAGACTAGGGCCAACTGAAGCAGTACGTCGGGTAGACGGCAACGATGCCGCTTGGAAGAAGACAGTAGATGCAGAAAACACCTTGTACTGCTCTGTCACCTCTATGCGGCGTGCGCCGATTCCTATAAAGGATCGTTTTAGGTTTCTATGAAATCAAGCTAAACGCACCTTCAAATGACGAAGTAGTAGCTTTTCCCTGCAGCTCAATCTCGATACTGGAGATGCGAGTAGGCTTCACGACATTCAGGGTGAGTAATCCGCGAACCATCGCAGGCGCTTCATTGTTCTGATTGCGGTCCCGGCCAGTCGGATCAGAAATGCGCAGGAAGACGACAGATTCTGTCAACCTGATACAGAGAGTGTTCTTCTCGTGCTGGATGTAATTCTGAACCATCTTATCGATTGACCATGTGCTTCCTGATGCTGTGTCCTGGGATGTCGCGATACAGAATTTGGCAAGCTAATGGGGCTGCACAAGGCAAAATGCAATCAGTGATTTGCAGGAACTTTGGAGTGAACACCGACATGTAATAAAGGAGTTGAACAGACAGTCCCCAACCGTCTACCGTTGAGCGCCTACTCGGATCCAGACCTGACTCGAAATTTGACGCCTGTAAAATGTTTCGGAGTTCAAGGACATTAATAAACGTGCTCTCAGTTGTCAAGATCCGTCATAATTGCGTTATCGGCCGAGTTGCAAGATCATGCACATGCACCAGTATATGGCCTCCCAGGTGAATAATAAGCAACATTCTTAGTACATATTGGTGAATCAGTCGCTGAACAATGTTTCTTGAAAAAACCTTATTGCAAGATATTTGAAGTTGGTAGCATGTACATGTGCAACTAGAAGACTAAGTATGAGGATTATGGGTATGACAAATGCAGAAGTATAAATTTCTCAGGGAAGCAGAGTTCAAGAAATGAAATGAACAGTGATGAGCTTGACTCTTAGGGACTCGGATCAGGTAGCAAAAGTACCCCCATCGCAAGGACAGCGGCCCCGAAGCTCACAGTCACAAAAATGCTGACCTCCTTTGGTTGCAGCGCCCACGCATAAGTCAGGATACCCATGATTGCGAGTACAAACCCAATCCCAGCGAAGAGAATGCACAGGGTGTGCACACGGCTCAGCAGATGCGATGAAATCGTAAGATTCCAAAAGCCAACCTGCTCCAGATGTGGGTCCCTGGCAAATATAGGAGGTTCCGCAGGTGTTGATCCCATCCGCGGCAGCGCTCGGGGGTCGTATTTGGTGTCTGTGTTCTCTGGCATGCCTTTCTGTGGCGGGTTCTCCGGGTCGAATTTCCCGGTCTCATTATTTTGGGCGTCTCTCTCGACGTCTTCGACGTGGAATGCACCATTCACTGGAGATGCCGTAATCTGAAATCCCTTGGCTCTGCCTTCTGCGAATAACTCCTCATTTGAGGCTTCTTTCAGTTTATATCGGATCAAAAGGAAGGCTGCAAGGAATGACAGGACAGCTATGCAATGAACGTGTTGCGCACGTGCCACGAATAAGTCATTCATTATGCCCTGGCAATGATACCCATGCAACTTACCTGCGTAAACGTGCATGATCAATGCACCCAAAAATCCTGCATTCGCAGCTTTGAGGAGACCTGGCAAGGCGTGGACTGCATTCGGGTCAGTGTTCACTGGTACTAACATCCCTGCTTCTATGGATGCAAAGAATGTCGTCTGTGCAATGCCCACGGAATTGCATCAGATGAATGTCATTCACCAGGTAAGTGATGGCCTTACAATTACACTGATGAGCTGCAGTCGCTCCTGCCACGAGTTCACGAGGTTTCTCATTGCCCGCCTACGAGCGTCTTCGTCTTCTTTATCTTGCTCCTTCTGCGTGCCTGCACGGAAAGTCAGTATGATCCTTACATTCGAGGCACAGTGACTGATACGTTTTCTGGGAGGAAAAATGACATCAAACTCGCGCTCGTCTTCCTCTATGTCTAAGTGTCCGCCAAGCCCCAGTCGCTTGAGCGCACCGGACGTTTCTGTTTGGGAACGAGCTGGTAGTTGAATGCTGCTGGCTCGAACTGCCAATTCTGCTCGTCCATGGAGATATTTTGAGTACCTCGATTCGAGTGAAGGTAATGGAAAACCTCACCTCCAGTTGTATGAATTCGTCGTGCGGTCATTATAGTGCTCAGTGGAGTCGTGACGATACAAATTATGTGGGGTTATGTGGGGTTGGAATAGGCATAGGAATGACATTTAACCTGGGCCATGCTGCTAAAAATGTCAAAACGCTAAGAGTGACCCTTGGAGAAAGCTATACCATGTAGGTCACATTTGATCCGATTCCGAGGCATAAACCAACTCGAAGGAGTTGCCAAGCGTTCCTGCTCCACTTTGAGCGGTGTGCATTTATGTAAAACGGTTCCGCTAGTGCTGTTCTTGGATCAAGCTAGCCGGGTGATGTAATCGAGAAGATGCTAAGCGTTTTGTTATTTACCGGCGTTCACCAAGTATCACTGATTGTTTGTCATGTTGCACAAGTACAGCCAGACCTGAGGCCTGAAAGTCTGAGACTGACATTTGTGACTAGTATACGATTTGACGTTTTGCTCTTGGCAGGCAAGATTAAATACCGGTAATTGGGGCTCATCAGCGGCGTGTAAAAATGATGCACAGGCCGTGCTTCTTGGAGATGGGCTCTAAAAATGATCCCGAATGCTGTTATCGATTTCTGGGAGATCTGATCAAGCTATATATGTGACCGCAGCTACTAAGCGCTCACCGCAAACGGTAACCCACAACGCATGGGCGGATGCCTACATCAATATTATAAGCTGGTTCATATCCTAGTCACCTATGGCTCACCTACTAATGCAATTTGGCACCACGTATGCAGTCACTACGTGCGATTCGGAGGTCACCTTCGAGGCAGAAAAAGACAAGAGTGACAGCTTGAAGAGATAGTCATACCATCTGACCACGCGCAATAGACGTCAGCTATCGTATGCAGGCGGCTGTCAGCCTGGTTTGCCTCGAAGAGCTTCGTCCAGAGACTGCAGCCATTTCTTGGCCGTCACAGTCGCAAATCTATACAACAGTTCAAATAGCTTACATCTATGGCGTATCCTGGTGCAGCAGGTGCGAGACTAGTCGCCAGTCACGAATGAATCTCCCAATGTGATTCATCACATGTTGGCCACCAAGTCTCAGTGTTCGTGTCGCAGAGCTGTTTGTAGGCTAGTTTGGCCATGCGAAGCGCTATGAACCACAACAGAACTATGGGGACAATATGAGTGTATTGTGCTACGAGTGCTCTATAGTATCAAACAAGCGAAAAGTAATACAAGGAGTAACATAAAATGGGCGGCGAGCTCGAGAACTCATCGCCATTGACCTATCGCATATTTACCTTGAAGTAAACCCAGGCATCAGATGGCCCCGCTTTCTGAAAGTCTTGAATGCTGACGGCTGCGAGATGCTATTGGTCACAAGTCGAACGTGCAAGTCGATAAAGGTTGTTGCAGGCTCCGGATCTCGCAGAGATCGAAACCAAATATTCGACGTACACCAGCAGATAAGGCAATTTGAACATTGCACGTGTTTGTGCAAACCGCAATCCTGTGTTGGTTCTCAAGTCAGCACAATTGCTCGAACGTGTGAGTAACAGAAGTAGTACCATTAAAACCTGTGCCAGTCTTTACCTTCCATAATTGGTGGTCTTCGGCGACAAAGGCCACATGAGAGCGTGCAGGTCTGATCATACCTAGGAACGAGAAAGGGGCTGAGTAAGGTGATAGTCAGAAAAGTGTACGCAGAACAGAGCTCACTCCAGTCACTGAGGGACGGGGAAAGGAAATCAGTAAACATGTATAAGGCATGTGGAGTGATTGCGCATGTCAAAGAAAAGGATGACTCGAAGTACATACGAGAGTGACATGGAAAGTTATATCTTGATAAGACTGATCAAGTCACCGCATCCCGTTCGCCACGGAGAACATTAATATTTGTGCTCATCAAGAGAATGGACGAGTTTCATTTGGCCGTTTAGTGCAGTAAAACCGAAATGCAATGTATATCCGAGGCAAATCGGATACCTATATTGTCCGAGTCAGTGGTCCCTCATACAGCTTCATGACAAATGTGACGAGTTTCACTGGCGGATCCAGAGCTTTGACCTTGTGCTCTCCATTCTCGTGTGGCGCATACCGCCACCTTCCGAATTTCAGGAGTATGCAGAAGCATCCAAACTTACACGCTGGTATCAGGTACGAATTGGAACATTCTCTACTCAGGGCACCCTACCGGGCCGTCACCAATCTCAATGTCCCACGAGAGCGATTTCCGAGGAGCCCGGACCACAAGGAAATCGTGAGTCCTGTGAAGTGTAAAGTCGCAGACAAAAATTATGTGGAGGACTCGAACGTATTCGTTAATGGGCCGGTATCTCTGTGGGTCATCGACTATAGATTCAACGACAGTCTTGAGGTGGCTGCAACAAGAGGTCATCGAACGTCTAGGGCTGACAGCTATTCCAAGGTTTTTTTAGTTGTAAAGATAGTGACCTATCAGAATAATCTCTCGACTGCTGAGGTTGCCACGCTTAGAAACTAATGGAACTCACGAGTTCAAATGTGTTTTGACGTGCACGCTACTATCTCCCACATGATATGGTATGGAGTATCGATATGATCCGTCCAGTAGTAGTGTAGCTGTCAGCCTGAATACCCGGATACTTCTGCCAAGCACCAGCTATTAGTACTTCAATGCAAGTCCAGCTTCTTGCATAATTACAGTCATCTGCTATGGCAGCGCCAACATCGAATAACCTTATCTGCTTCACAAATTGCTTCCTCCCGCAGGAAGACGGTGGTTTGATTGAAAAGGATTTGTGGATTGATGAGCGGCGTGGTGTCATACTGGACGCGCAGGTGGGTCGCCTTGCCCAGGCTATAGACGTGTATTTGGGTCAGATTCAACTATTAATCGTGTTCAGCGAACCTTTTTCCTGCGCAAGGAGCGCCCGAATACAATCATTGATCTTGGGGGAAACGTCTTGAGGTGAGTGTCCTGAATTCGCAAGCCCAGTGTAACGAGTCTTTAACCGACGTTTCTTGTTACGTATTTTCGATTTCTGCTAACAACTAAATTATTTTGGACAGTCCGGGCTTTATTGACATTCAGATCAATGGAGGCTTTGGTTTCGACTTCTCTGTCTACGAAGGCGACGACCAAACTTATCGAGATGGGTTGAAGTTGGTCGCAGAGAAGATTGTTGAGACAGGTGTGACTGCGTGCGTTGTCAATGCATCTCCCACCCACTCCTTCATAGCGCCTTATTTCTCTGTCAATTTTCAGCTTGGTCCCCACAATTATCGTAAGCTTCAGGTCCTTGGGTGTTTCATTCGCATAACATATGCGCAATACAACAGACTCAGGAAACGACTTTGTACCCCAAGCTTCTTGACCTGCTTCGTCCATGGTCACCTCCACACGCAGCACACCTCCTCGGGTGGCATGCCGAGGGGCCATTCCTACAGATGTCCAAACGAGGTGCCCACTCACCTGCGTTAATAATTTCTGCCTGCAGAAGGCTTTAAGACTTTTGAGTCTATTACAGTCCAGAGAACCTAGCAGACGCAGAAGACTGGCTCATGTCAGGCGACACCGCCCCCAACACTGTGGGAGTACGCATAATAACAGCTGCCCCTGAAGTCGAGGGCGTTATGGAGGCTATTAACGAAGCCAGCAAGCGTGGAATCTGTTTCAACATTGGTCACAGGTATGCTCTTGTTGAAAATGACGATGCTAGGTTACTCCTATACAAGATAGCATGGCTACAACGGATATTGCAACTGCAGCAGTACGGAATGGTGCGAGATGCATCACACATCTCTTCAATGCAATGCCGCAGCTTCACCATCGCGACCCGTCTATCATTGGTTTACTTGGAGCTTCTCCTTATCTATCTCCTTCGTCTTCTTCGACTTTTTTGCCATTCCCGTCCGCTATCATCAGCGCCCTCAATGCCTCGATGCATTCGCTTCCAATCACCAAGGAGCCTTCGATTGATCACATATCGGAAGCACTTGATGAGATTAAGACACCCCCTCAGACACCCATGCTCCTTGCGGAACAAGCTCTCAGGAAATCTCTCCTTCCCACAGGCAAGTCAACGGAGAGCCCAGGCTCTGCCGCTATCACCGCCATTCCCCTGGGGAGTGGGCAGTCAAGCGAAAGTAAGCTCAAGAAATATTTTAAGACTATACCATTCGATCGACCATTCTACGAGATCATCGTGGATGGGATTCATTCTCATCCCAACTCCGTGAGAGTATGTTCTTATTGTTGATGTACATCTGGACTTGTGTTTGATATCTTCAGTAGCTAGCGTACAGTGCTCATCCAGACGGGTGCATCTTGATTACCGATGGTATGCGACATTGTGTTACGGAGTTACTTTACTGACGTTCTCACAGCCATGAAGATTCTTGACCCGCACCTCAAGGATGGTGTTCACGACTGGCGCGATGGCCGTCGGTTTTACAAGGAGGGCGATACACTTTACGTGGAAGGCACCACCACCCTTGCCGGAAGGTTTGTTCACACTACATATCTGTTTTGCACATTAATGGCCGAACGTTAGCGTGGTTACCCTCGATAAATGCGTACGGAACTTTGTGCGCTACACGGGCTGCTCCATTGGTGAAGCTATCAAATGTGCAACTTATAATCCTGCAAGGTAAGCAAAAAAATTTGATCTCGCAGACCTTGCCGTAATGCAATACAATTTCCCAGGTGCCTTAATATTGAGAACAAGAAGGGTACGCTGCGCGCGGGAGCAGACGCGGACTTGGCGGTTCTTGACCACCAAGGTAATGTACTAAGCACCTGGGTGAAGGGCAAGATGGTGTGGGCGAGGAAGTAGTCTCACCATGTTTCCGAAGGCAGTCTAAGTTCCTTCTACAGTTCCCGTTAACGTTTCACCTTGGGCTTGATGGACGTTCCATGGGTTCATCACTCTAGACAAAGCTTCGAATATTGATGATGCCAATGCCATTGAGCCTCATGATTATGCTGTAACTTTTGCCAGATGCCTTGGGGACTGAAGTTACGACCCGGATCAATGAGAAACTTGAAAAGTGGGATTCGTAGCATTGATTCCGAAGGGAAGGTTGGGATGTAAGTTACAATTACCGCGGTCAATATGTAAAAGCCATCACGACTCCCCATGGAAATCACGGTAGCAGATTTGACCAACTAACAAGCTACGTCGAGGAGTAAAGGACAAACATGCTTACTACGGTTCGGCGCTGCCGACTAGTCACCTTGTTTTTGGGATGTTTTTGATTTCCTGCACCATAGCTTCAAGTGATGCAAGATGTAGAAAAAAGCTCAAAAACTGCGGTCGAACCAGGGTCACGATTTGATTCGAATTTGTTGGCCCTGACAATGTTCACAGCAGTAGTTGTTGAAGGTTAGGTGATGGATAAACGGCCGCCGGACCCGGGAGCGATTAGGGTGCAGTGCAGTAAGGGCCGCCCAATGGTTTGTTGAATCCTCCGAGGTCACCGACGCGTCCCATTGACCACGCGGCATGTCTTCTGAATGTTTGTGAACATATGAAATGTCTTGCAGTAACAGCAATATCACCGAGTTCTCAGAAGTTGCCTGTGATCACCATTAAGGTGGAGATCGTGCCAGTCCATCTTCACTGAGGGGAAAAAGGGGGAACGTTGCTTCAGGGTACGCAGTGGCAGGCCATCTCGCACCAAAGATGATATCATCATTTCCACACTCCTTCTAGCACCACTATGGCCGCTCAGATATTCGCGCACAAGACGACTGCCTTGACGAATCCTCCAAATTATGCTTTGACCTCTCATCGACTCTGTCGCACTCTACACACCTCTACCAAGCAACCTATCGTCTTGGTGGCATGCGGCTCCTTTAATCCTATCACATATCACCACCTCCGGATGTTTGAGGTCGCGAAGGATTTCATTCAGCAGAATACCAATTTTGAGATCCTCGGTGGATATCTCAGTCCAGTCAGTGACGAGTACAAGAAAGCGGGTCTAGTCAGTGCACATCATCGGTAAGTGCATCGCTGTTGTTTCTTCCCATAGTATGTGTCGGGGCACCAGATTTGTGGTCTATCCTCTTTAGAAGGACTGTGTTTTTCCCTAGAGGGCTGCTCCAGTTCAAGTAGTCGGACCGGGCCAAATTCTTTTTTGTGGACCATAACTGAGTCTCACGAGATCTCATGAGGTCCCACAGCCGTGGTGAACCTAAGACCTAAGGAGGCATACTTCTTTGCAAAGACGCCCTGACACAGATGTGTCTGTGTCCGGTATTCCAATATTTCGGAAAGGTTAAAATTTTATCCCCCAACTTGAAACTTCAAAATCTTGGATTGTGCAACTATCTACCATATCGATACTGATGTATTCCACATGAAACAGGGTCAACATGTGCGCGCTCGCCACAGAGCAGGAGTCGTCGTGGCTAATGGTCGATTCCTGGGAGGCGCTGCAGAACTATCAACGTACAGCTATTGTGCTAGACCACTTCGATTACGAAATTAACACGGTTCTTGGTGGCGTGTCCACTCGAGATGGTGAACGACGTGATGTTCAGATCATGCTCCTTGCTGGTTCAGACCTAATTGGCACCATGTCTGAGCCGGGCGTTTGGTCTGATGATGACGTAGGTATCTACTTTGGTCTCAAAAAATCACATGTGCTTGCGGACTGATGCCCATCGATATCTAGCTCGATCATATACTCGGACACCATGGAACGTTTGTCATTGAGCGCACCGGGGCCGCTCTGGATCAAGTAGTTGACAGTCTAGTGCGTTGGCGGAACAACATCTACCCTATCGCTCAGCAGGTCCAGAACGATGTTTCCTCGACAAAGGTACGGCTGTTCTTTCGCAGGGGTCTTTCAGTACAGTATCTCCTCCCAGCGGCTGTCATCGATTACATAGAGCAGAACAATCTATATCCAGACGACGGACCATGCACGGAGAAAGACAGGCAAGGAAAGTGAGAGCGGGGAAGCTGACACTACTAGTTCAGAAAGCAGCCGCAATGTACGTGCTACCCAGTCAACATTGGGAACGGAGACGACAAGGTTATCAAATTAGACTTGTATAAAGAAACCTTAAACGTGAGTAAAATTACTAGCTAAATGAACTCCGTCTGTTGTCAATCAAATGAGTGGACGCTAGTTTACGCTAGTCGACACTGCTTGAAGCCACATCTATGGCTGTTGCGGGTGGATCGGTAATGAAAAATATCCTCTAGTAAAGAGTAATATACCAAACTGTTGTGTTAGACTGGTATGTTGGATGGTGAGGGTCGGAATTGTGCGATCACCGGGAAGGCCCGGGGGCGATGGTCAAGAGGAGAAAGGTGTGCTATCGTTCCCCAGTGGGCAATAAAATTCCCCACAAATATAGTTTCCTTGCTGTAACGTGGTGGCACTGAAGTCTGGACTGTTATTTGACTCGTATGCGTTCATTTCGGTGGTGAGGATGATGATCTGCGCAATGTCTGCAAAAGGAAGGAAACTGAGGCAGGGCTCTGCCACCTTGAGATTCACCTCTATATCTGCTACACCCTAAGTAAAAACTATATATCCAGTATGTTTGTGAAAAAATAATGCGAGCAATTGCTTCAAGGCCAGCTCAAGCCAGTAAAGTAGATACTAGTGATATAAATTCCGATGAGGTTTATCCAGGTAACTTCAATCAGAGCAGCTGAGTGCAAGTAGTAGATGGGACATGAGTAACGGCTGTCGAGTAACGCGGTTGACCGACTGCGGTAGGATTAACAGGCTTGAACCTCCCACTCTCCTTCCATCCCGACAGCTGGCAGGTTTCTCATGGCAACTCGCGAACGGTGTTTGGAGAAGTCGTTGCGAGTGCCATTCAAAAACCCTGGTATATGTTCAAATGTGGCATCCGATGGATGGTGGCCGAACGCCGGTCCACCACTGCCATACGGCATTCCTGAGTCGTGAACTCCACCCAGAAAAGGATCCAAGTCAAAATCGCTAGTCAACGGTACGAAAGACGATCCCGGTGTCGACGATGCGGTAAATGTCAAGGCACCTGCAAAGTTGTAGTTATTTGGTGCTGACTCGAACCACATAGGCATCGAGGATGGGGGTGGACGTTGGGGATCCCGGTTGATATGGTGTGATTGGGAAGGATAGATCCGAACCTGAACTTTTCCGTCATTGACTGGACTGACATCGAAGGAAATTTCGAATCCCCCAAGGGCTCTGATGGCTTCGGAGTGGATTTCAACTTTGCGAGGGGACGAAGATCCAGCGCCCGAAGAAAGCTTTCCGAGATCGCTAAAACCGAGGTTCATCACTGCTCCCCCGTCAGGATGTGGTGTCCATTCGAAATCTGTTGGGATGATGGAGTTGTAGTCGAAGTTGCACGAGGGGTGTAGGACCGAGGGATCCGTCGGGGGAATATAGTATGTCGTGGGAAGTGATCTTGGAGACATGGAAAGAAGGGACGCCGGTAGCGTGCATAGGAGAACCTGCTGTTGGGTCATTGGTCTCATAGTTCTGATTTCCAAAGACTAGGTTGCCTACCATCAGGCCGAGACTTGCTCCTGATCTCTGATGAGAGTGCATTGGCAACGAGGCAGATGGCGAGACTGGTGTCAAAGAGTGTTCGTAGTTTTCTGTCTTCACGTGGACATCACTGATTGATCTTCGTGAAAGTTCGGCCTTCAACTCGCGCCCCCTTTTTTCAGATGCAGAAAGGCGAGTGCGTATTTGTTCGACTTCCGAGAGCAGCTCGTCATAGGCGTGTCCTCTTTTGGCAGCAGTTTGCAGCCGCACATTATCATCTTCTAGCTCCTTGACGCGACTATATCGATGAAGCGGGTATCATTCAGCGTCCTGTCACATACCCAAGAAATAACTTTAAGAACTTACATCTCCATAGCCTCGAATTCCTCCCGCTTCCGCTGTCGACTGAGGAAAGCAGCGGCGCGGTTCTTGACCAGACGTGCTTCACGTTTACTCAGCCCTGATACATCAGGTGGCACAAAGTCTTTCGTTGTGATACGCTCTCCGCCAGTTCGTGGTCTCTTCGAAGGGCCTGCGACAGGGAGGGAAGATAGCCCTTCCGCATGCATGTGAGTGTCAATGGAAATAGGTGGCTGAGAGGACTTTGATAGCGGTGGAGAGATAGATGGTGAAGGTGACGATACATTCGGCACCTCAGGGAAGTCAAAGACCTGGTGTGTAGGCAAGCACAATTGTTGTTCCTTGTCTCGTGCAGAGTCAGGAGTTGTATTAGAAGATGCAGGTCCAGGAGAGTCAGTGATATTTGAGCCGACAGAGATAGGCGGGGACGGTGGTAGAGGGTAGTAACTCCACCCAATAGTGTTCATTGCATTTCCAGAGTATGATGGAGGACACTGGTCCCAAGGTGCATTTGAGGGTGAGATGGGAGTGATCAAAGCTATGTCGCCATCAGTTATTTGAGACATATGCGCAGAAATTGAATGGCGGGGCATGAGATGGGGGCTGGTAAACCAAATATTGTGGTGTTATGTAGGCGACAATGCAACGGAAACTGGGCCAACTTTTTGTATCATCCGGATTTATATCCCGCTCATAGGTAAGTACGACCGTCAGGACCTTTCAATTACCCGACCAATCAACTCCAATCAAGTACTCATCTGATTTGCAAATGTCGGCTCTCACATGTACTTGGGTTGATGTTCAATTCAGGACATAGATCTAGTAGCTAAGTCCGTTTCCGTACACGCGATTATCGCCGCCGTTCTTTGACCCTTGTATACGGGACATGACAATCCTGAAAGTCGGCAAGTCTCGGTTCGCGGATGAAGACGGGGGGGTCATGATCATACATTACTAGGGACCACACTCACATTGCCTCCGTCCGACAGTCGGGTCTAAAAAGGTTTCGAGAGAAACGAAAGTTGACAGAAGACTCGTTTCCTCCACGACGCTCCCGATCAAAGGCTTGGGAACTGTCCTTTCATTAAATTACGAGAACCGTCATGGGGATCCCACGTGAGCATAACACGAGCAAAAGATCTGCTGTCTTCCTGCCTGCCTGCCTGCCTGACTGTGGCATGCAAGTGCATGGCGGTTACTAGCAATGATTGATCTGAGTGTCAAATTTTTTTTTGTTATTTTTTTTTTGTATTACACAGAGACAAACAGGGGTGACTGGGATAGTAACCGAGATCAGGGCGGCTCCGAGAGTCAAACACTGAGATTCCTGGGCGCTCTAGGGAATCTTACGTCTAGTTCACAGACACGGAGGTTGTAGTAGTAGTTGGAGCCACTTGTCCTGCAATTCGCCATCAGGTGCCAAGATCCCAAAAGGACGGGAACTTCCCTCAGTCTAACCCCCTCGGAACTCCATTTTCAAACAAGTTACAGGCTGTTACAGTTTGTACAGGTAAGTGGTAAATCATATCGCATCCGCGTCTTCCATGGAAGCGCGTACCTTACTATTTGATATTTTATCGACTGCAGCCGCTGTTACACAGGAAGTACTGGTAGAACTCTTATCGATGCGCCTCGATGGCTGGTTTGGGAAGTCAAGCCCGCCTCGTCGCCTTATCGATGCGCCTGCTCGAAAATAAGGTTAAGCTACAGTGTATCATACATCCATCCTATCATCAGTGCTTTTGACAACAGTACATGTCTTCATTCCCCCTCCCCAAGGCTGTCATGACCGATCCCCCACATTTTTCTAAAATAGTCTGTGTTCGCATGAAAATCGGAACCTCGTGTTCTGAATGGGTGATATGGATGCGGAGAGATTGGTTTTCAATAACAAATCAAGACATTAGAGTTCCTCGCAGTCCAGCAGGCAGTGCCAGTGGACGCAAATTGTTACGTTCTTGGGACTCCTCCAATCTTCCAGATTTGGTCACGGCCATGTCGATCATTTTTGGGCCGCAAAGGAGCACAATAAGCTAGTCCGAATATGACATAGTACTCTGGATTAGTACCGCCCCGCCTTTTGTATCAACCACTTGGTGTTCCTTCATACACCTTCAAGGCTTCACGTCTCCAGAGATCCTAGTACATAGAACATACAGCTTTCCAATAGTAATGGATACGAAAAACATGGTCTCGAGACCACCAGCATACGTACGCCCCCTCACATGCTAGAAACTTTTGCAAAAACCTTTTGGCGAATTTAACACAAGCCTTGCGACTTCCGGCCATAATGCTACGACTGGTAGAGAGTCCAAGCCTCTTGACGTAAATCGCTCATCGAGTTGCATTACATCCTATACTATGTATGGCTGTGACCGCCGATATCGACGTCGAATAGAACAATATTAGAATAACTTCAAGAACCCAGGTTACAGGTAGCGATCGGTTGCGAGGTCAAAATACAGATATAATCAAATTCACTTCAAATTCGTAAACTCACCATTCAAAATGGATGTATTCACAACACAAAAAAACAAACGGGTGCGAGGTTCTTCGGCACTTGACGCGTCGGGCTTTGGAGCGGTCAGCGAATTTGGTACTCAACGCTTCGCTTGAATCCTCGATAATTGGAGGTGGTTTCATCGATGTATGAGATGTCGCCATAGGAGGGGGAAGTAGCCCTGGACCCGATAAAAATAGACACCACGCGATTTAGAGAGGTGCGACAAAAACTTGGCACAGATGATACGAAAAAAAATAAAAACAGACGTGAAGACAGCTGAAAACTTCAATCTGAATCTCCATCAGACAGGAACTTCAGTCATTAATGCATTACCCACAGTACTAGTGGGCCAGTGGCTGGTAACCTTTCTTCTGGTAACTCAATTTGAGCGATTTCGGATATTCACAGACCAATAAACGTGCTCGCTTGCAAGTCGCGCAGATTGAGTTGATCAGTGCGCAAGTAATGGGCAAAAAATGGCATCGCTTCTGCCAAGTCCGAGAAAAGTCCAGAGTAGCCAAGCAGCCAAGTCATTTTGAGGGGCCCAGGTGTGCCCACACACACAGCATCATGATGAGATCTGATCCTGCAAGGAATTCGAGGTCGCCGACTTGTTGCTAAAATATCGATCTGTGGTGTGAAGCGGAGCTCTGCGTAACTGCGCGGATGGTGATTAGAAGCACTAAGCAAATTAAGCCGGTCGTGAGGCAGAGCCATGGAAGCGAAGACACTCACCAATTCGCAGAGTTGATTAAATTGAAAGTATGGGAGAACTGGAAGAACTTACGGGCCTCCCCGATTTATGTGAAGTAAATCTAGGGTGACGACTTGAACTTGAAGGGTGGATGCATACGGGCCCGGAGGATAGTGACCAGTGTTACAATTGCAAGACCGCATGTGATATGATGTTGGTACTAGAATTTAGCGCAGTCGATCTTGCCAAGCTCAAGATCGGAGACTATCATTAGGAATATCATTCAGGCGAAAATGAGTATATTGCATAGCTGCGGAAGCAACCATAAAATATATGCGGGGAATGCTGGAAAATGGAGTCGAAATATAACGAATTGTAGAACATGCAAGTGGGAAAGTTGAAGATAGCCACTCGGATCATGCATCCGCGTTCCTCAGTGTTGGGTGAATGTAAACTAGTCCAAGTACTTTGAATACATCACGTTCCGTTCTGGGATGGTACAATTTGGAATCATGACGTCGTGATCTATAAAGCAATAGGATCAGTCCATATGCCAAGTCCATTGTTTTGGTTCACTAGAGACTCACATCCCAGAGCTATCAAATTTCATTCCCCTGATAAGATAAGTTAACCAGGATCCACGCGGAGAAGCGCGAATACTTGCTTTTGCTGCTTCGCCCATAACCGTAAGTCTCTTTCGAACATCGTCGACCCAGTCCTAGATTGGCGCTCGTATCACTTGCCAAAGTAGTTAGGTCTAGTGCTCACCACCCAACTACTGCAGTCCAAAATACTTCCGGTGCAGTAAAAATCAGATCCACACGTCGGTAAACGTTCTGCCGCGATGAATTATGACGCGATACGAACACAGTTAGAGCCTTCTCTAAAGAGTCCCAGTGATGAGTGCGCAACACGTTGTGTTCGTGGAATCCCGAAAGATCTATACGATTGTCAAATCAGACAACCCAAGGCGGTCATGCTGGAGACATACGCATGACATGCGTGACGAGGCCTGTAATTGATCAGTATGACGACCAAGTATCTCTATTGCAGATCTGACCTTGTTCATGCAGTCGTTGCACAAGCTTTCTACACAGACCCTTCACTTTCTGAGACCCCAAGTTCCAATCCGTATGGGTGATGACTATGTCAACATCGTTACTTTGTGGCTTTCCTCGGCGGTAACTAAAATCACACGCCCATGGAAGAGCAATGCAATAAATAGCAGCTACTAGTTTGGGCAAGCAAGGTAAACACACCCTCCAGCGATCACGCTTTTGCACCCTTTCTGGATGTGGCCGAGTTCTCGCATGATGGTCCCATTAATTTCTTCTACTTCGTCGCGTGGAATGCTATGAAGGCACAGATATCAATAAAAAAGCACGATGTCTTCGCCCGAAGGGACGAATAAAAAAAAAAGCTCACGTCTGACCCAAGTCGTGTCGTAGAGCCAGCCCGATCTTAATCGACTGTTCCCCGGCAGCCTCTGTATTTGCGCTTGCTTCAGCATCAAGTAGTGGCATTGTCTCTTCGTCAGACACGCCTGGTTTAACTTCATAATATCGTTCAAGTTCCTCAAGCGTACGGAGACCAAGGTCATAAAGACGGCGAGCAGTGTGGGGTCCGATGCCATGTATTGTGATGAAAGCAGAAAGTGACTGAAACCGCGGATCCGCCAACATTCTCTCTGCATCCGTATCAGCGCCAAGTCATAGAGGCAGGGGGGAAGACACAGACGCGCTTCGGTTATTTGGCCTGTCTTTAGAAACTCCTCGATCTGATGTATATATGAATAATGAAAGGTGAATGGTGAGGAGGATGGCAACATCACCATTGAGAGGATCTTCACTCCTAAGAACGGTAGCTCGTGGAGATCTCGGATATTGTGTTTCGTTATGACATGCGGGTAAGCTGCGTATTAAATCCAGCTCGTTATACATTGAACGGCGTTGCAGTTACAAACCCTTGATGACCTGGGCGCGATGGGTTTAGCATGTTATACAACACAATGAAATAGGTTGAACAGACAGAAATAGCCCTGGAGTAGCTGAGCATACTCCTTTCCTCCCCTTCGACATTCCTGCCTTGTCGAATGACATCAATTTCTTTTACTAGACTTTGATTGGGGCAGACAAGTGGCGACGGTCGTAGACAACTGTATTTCGCAGTGTGCGACAATAATTCCACTTCGGTAGTATCTATGAGTTCAGTTGGTTCTGTCTGCCAACAACTTTGCTTCTCTGCCTCAGAGGGCATGTTGGATGGACTTCCAGATGAGGCGTCTTGGACAGTGTCGTGACTTCGCGAAGTTTCGTCTTCCAGGTGATGAACTGCAATATAACTGCCGTATGGAACGGGCCGACCGGATTTCACAGAATCTTGAAGCCATAATGGTGTTACGATGGCCTTCGTTTTCTGTAAATGGTATTGGAGCAAGCACTCTGCGTAATTGATAAAGTGTAGGCGCATACCGCAATTCTCCACTCAACGTGCCTTTCCAAGCGCTGCCTCATGTTAGTTGCGGTGACAATGACATCCGCCTTCTCAACATCGCCAGTGAGTTCAAGGTTGAGTTCGCTAACGCTGGTTGGCCCTTCAAGACTCTCGTTACCACGCTCAACTTTATAGTTCTCGACTAGCATGGCAAGCTCAGACATCATTTCTGGATCGATTTTGGCCTGTAAGATGTACACCAGAACGGTTTTGTCCTTCTCGATATTCCGTGGTGAACTGACCCGGCGTCGCTTGGAAGGTCCGCCGTGAGAAGAGTCCGACTGGGATTCAGAGTCATCAGTTGTATGCGAGCTTAGCAGCGGTCGCTTGAAAGGCATCTGCAAACATTGTTACAATCAGCTGTATGCAACGGTGACAATTAATGTTACACTTCGCGCAAATCTGTGCGAATGAGAAGAGACGCGAAAATGACAATTGCAAGGAGTTTTCCTGCGCCCTACCGGCTTGTAATCTATTTTAGTTTTCCGACTCGGGAGCACCGAAAAAGGAAATCATCCATTTGGTTATGTAACACAGCCGCCTGGCCAACTTTCTGGTGTTCCTAGTCAGATAATTTTCTTGTAGATCTTAGATCTCGAGGCTCACTAAATCTTGCAAGAGCGCAAAGATCCGTAGTGAGCCTGAACACAACCGCATTACAGAATACAAGCGTTCCTCTGATGCGATGGTTGCAATGGCCACAAGCGGATCCGGGTGTCAATATACCAGACATGTTCAACAACCCGAAACCTTGTTGGAGCCAAGTTACTGCCCTTTTCAAAGCACCCTTATTCCTCGGACGTTCAAACTTCAACAGTGGAGGAGTCAGATTAATTTTGCCTGTGAGTCGACAATATTTTACTCGCACGAAGTAGAGGGGTACAGTCGTTGACACGACTTGTGCCCCAGCAACAGTCATCGCATTACGGAGGAAAAGAGGCCCCGAGGCAATGTCAGATTTCTGATCATTATGGTTTGAGATCGAGGCTCTGAGAGCACTGCTGCAGTGCAGTTTGGTTCAGTCACTTCTCTGGGTGGTTCAGTTCAGGATCTCGAACGTCCAATCGAACAGGCCTCTGTATTGGCGCGTGCGATGCTCAAGTCTCGTGGTTTGAACGCGAACTGGTCCAGCAAAAGTCAATCGACATATAATATATCCAGAGGAATCTGGCGCGGCGAACTTGAAAGCAGTCGAGAACCAAATAGGATATCTAAACACAAGTCCGTCACACCTGCGGGAGGCCGCTGCTTGTTCCAAGCCGCTGTCCACGGTGCGTAAACTTTATGGTCCGGGTCCAAAACAAGGAAGTAAGTGGGCTTTCCCCTCGTATCCCTATAAACACCGGCCAGCATATGCACTACCCACACGCTCTCGTGCAGCCACCTGTCAAGACTCAAGGGGCCTGTATATCTGAGCTCACAACGTCCGTAGTGAATCTTGCGCCCTTGCACGTCAAGTCGACCTCTCGATTGTGTCGGAACAGTTGGGTGTCAACATTCTTGCAAACTCCAGGAATATCAGGTGTAGTCCTTCCTGCTATTATCATAGCTGAAAATCCGATGCCCATTTAGTGCCCATGTCGTGAACGTGGCAAAATGCATATAGAGAACCTGTCGCTGACGCTCGAACCTCCATAGCATTCATACTTCAGACCGTGGTTCCGGACATGACCGCGGCAGTCGAGATGAACCAGCACAATTTGCGGAGAAACTCGACCACGTGAGGTTTGGTCCGAAGGCACACATTGTTTTGCTCACGCACAGCTGTTAAATCTAATAGCACGCGATCCACCGGAGTTCGAACTCGGTCCACCACGAGCTTCACGGCCCTTGATCCCTTCCCGAGTGATTTAGACTCTTTCACTCTTTCATACTTCACATTCCCTGACATATGCTAATATGCGAGAAGTTTATTTCAATCAGGATCGTGCTCAACCGGCACTGAAAAAATTCAGGCATATGCAGACTACCTAGAAATGATGTTTTGTACAAATGGAATAAAAGAGTCTTGTATGTTGCAGCTGGGAGAGATGAAATAGTGGTAATTTGCAACCTTTGCCCAAGACAAATCATCCAGATCCCAAAGATCCTGTACAAAAGCTATTCATAAAAAAAACCTGGAGTATAATGAACTCCTTATATGGAAAACATAAAACCAATGCGATAATTCTCTTGAGTGCATTAGTAAAATCAATGACGAGTACAACAGCGTGACACCGGAAAATTCAATCTCCTCCTCGGCACACATGGCATCCCAGACCTGAGGCGGCATCAATTCTACTTGCCTATCAGCAACACCAGTACAATCACGGTGATTATTATCATCAGTATCAGACGAATTATGACGCTCATAATATTGCTCCTGTCGCGATGCGCGCGCGCGCGCGCTTTGAAGCTTTAGGTTGCGGAGAGTAAAAGTCGACAGTGCCGCAACTCTGCCGAAGCGTGACAGGACGTGACCGAACAGATTAAAGAACAGATTAAAGGTTACCCTGAATTTTCTCGGCTTCGTTCCGACACCACACCATATCATCCTAAAAATTAGTAAAAAATCAGATCCATCTAGAGAAGATGCAAATCGATATCTATGATGGAGAAAATTTGTGGAGGGACATGTGATGTTATTGTGGAGCTACAAAAGATTTTATGTGGTTGATCTGATTTCCAATGCATCGCTTATGTAGATCATCCTTCCCCACCGCTTGGAATACTGTTGCCTTTTCAGCCTTCTGTCTCCATGGCAAAATTAAAGTGCAATTACATAAATTTGCGCTCACTGCGAGAAAAATTACAATGCACCCTCAGGCTGGCACTCCCTAAATGTTGTTCCTGTTGCGGCGAAGGAAATGCAACCATGACTCGGAGTAGGGTGGGCCAAGACCCAGGTTGTTTACAAGTAAGAACAGGTGGTGCCAATGTGGTGTCAATGACCGTATCACTGGTCTGTCGTCAGTTGTCGTCCCACCCAGTCGGGGTCGTCTTCGTTTGTTTGGAAGGCATGACCAAGTGCGGTATGATCATCGTTCCACGTTTTTGCCGGAATGTGGGACCTAAACTGTGCGGATGAACGGAACCGAAGCAACGTGAGATAGATGACTTCCCGCCTGTTGATCCCGCCGATGCGGCAACAGGTGAAATTAAGCGCACTAACAGCTACAAATGTCAAGAAAATGGAAAGGTCAATGCGTTGAATTTATCAGTACACAGCCAAATTTTGCTTGCGTGCTACAGTTTACGATTGGTAAATTATTAACGTTAGGCCCACGGCCCCACGCATCTGACGATGCATATAACAAAGTCTTTCGTTAACATTTCTGTAAAAAAAACGACTCAGTGATGATGTTCCGACAGATAAGAAAATAGGAACGTGCATGTATCACAAGGAATACATCGATGGAACTAATTAGCAAAAGCTTGAATGCCAGTGATTGCCTTTCCAAGGATGAGACCGTGTATATCCTGCATGAAAAGAGGGATTGGGTTGTCAGCTCGAGAGATCGTGGAAAATATGGTGTTAAAGGGAAAAAACTAACATATGTCCCTGGAAGGCGAACACGTCAGCGATCGCGCCGGGTGGCGGCGAGCAAGGCACATACCTTCATAAGTATTCACAACTTGTAAATTTGCAACATGTCTACCGACATGGTACCTTCAAACATCAACTTAACGCATGCATCACAGTCACGTAAACCATAGACATACTCATCTGAAGCTGCATTTCCTCCGAGAATATCCAAAACGACTCGGGAGTGCTGAAGGGCCTTTCCACAGTTATTACGTTTTACCATACTGATCATTTCGGGCGCCAGCTTGCTTGCGTCCTTCAGTCTGCCAACCTGAAGACTAGCCTGCAAGCCAAGAGCTACTTCAGTTTGTGCGTCTACAAGTTTCTTTTGGACGAGCTGGAAAGATGCCAGCGGTCGCTTAAACTGTTTTCGCTCAAGTGCATACGCGAGAGTTTTTTGGATGCAGTCCTCGAGAGCCCCCATTACACCCCATGAAATGCCGTACCGGGCACTATTCAGACAGGAGAAAGGTGCACTAAGGCCCTGTCCGTGCGGGAGCAAGGCATCATGGCCTACTCTAACAGAGTCCATGAAGATCGAACCAGTTAACGACGCCCGAAGTGCAACCTTATTCTTTATGGCCGGCGCTTCCAAACCTTTCAGACCCTACCAATTGTGTGGGAGTGAGATAGATGAGTGGAACGAGAAATAAAATGCTTGCCTTCTCCAGAAGGAAGCCTCGGACCTTGCCATCCCATTTGCAGCGAGCCCAGATGACAAAAATGTCACTGTTTCGCCAGCAAATCAGCGGAATCATAGAACTTGAACAAGGGGACCTACGCGACAGGTGCATTTGATATCCAAGTTTTGCTTCCATTGAGGACAAAGCCGCCATCAGTTTCCTCAGCAGTTGTCTCCATGCCAGCTGGGTCGGAACCATGATTTGGTTCAGTCAGCCCCTGTTTAAATTATTACAGCGAACTCAAAATCTTAGGTACTGTGATTTCATACAAAACAGCCAATGATTTCTCCCTTGGCTGTATGATATAAGCGGCGAGTTCTCGATCACAATTAGAAACCCTACCTAACCGAGGAATATACCTCTCTTTCTGTGCTTCAGTACCAAACTCGTTGATGGGATGCATAACAAGCGATGATTGGACAGATGCCGTCGACCGGTAGCCAGAGTCGACGCTACCATGTCCGAGGGTAAGCTAACGATGGAGACCAAAGCCGCGGTACAGACCGCTCAATTTCTCTAGCAATGAGGCCATAGGCCACATTGCTCGCTCCAGCACAGCCATAGCCTTGAATCGTCGGTCCAAGTAGTCCCAGTTTGCCCATTTCAGGGAGAATGTCATGATCGAATTCTGCACGCCATGTTTGAGACAAATAATAGAGAATAAGACTCATGACTTACTTTCCGTCCGCCAGCCTTCCAGCACACGGGGAGCAAGATTTTCCTACCAAACGGATCATCACACGGCTTTCTGAATGTAGACAAGGCGGACTTGCCTGGCAATACTCCCGAGCAGTATCACTGTGTCAGTATGAGCTTGACGTCCGCCGAAGATGTCACAACTAATACGTACCGTATAGCAATTTCCTCTTCCGTTAGTAGAGATTCCATATTCAACGGATCCTAACAAGTAGTCACTGTAGTCTTGACCTGGTTATTACTGAGTGCGAATTGCACTTACTTCATAGTTGTATTTCACATATCCTGACGCTACCGGACCGATATGAGTTCCCAACCATAGTTCAAAAGATAATCTTCAACTAACCTGCGCGACTCCCGTTGTTTGCAAACGGCGCCCTATAAAGAGGATATCCCAGTCGCCGAATGGAACTACGCGCAGATAACAAGGTAGCCATTCTTGGTATTCTGTCTACACTTGTGTTCGATGGTAGAGATGCGGAAGACGGTCCGTCGATTAAACTCGAAAGTTTAGAGCTTTGATCAGAAAGCGCTTAAAAAGGACGTGCGGGACGAGTTTTGTGGGGAAGTGCAAAACCGGAACGTCGGAACTACACGTGCCGGATGCCGCCGGTCAAGGGAGCTCCGAGCTGTCCGCCAAAACAAATTATTTTGCAAATCGCACAAATAATTCAAAATGGATCACATGTGCCGTTTATCAATGCACTGGCATCTAGCCAAGCTTGTATATAGGTGGTGAATCCAAGAAGCTCAAGGATCTCGCTCCTGGAAATTCCATGAAGAACAACGACTTAGTGCAGAAATTTATCACGGAATTCGGTTAAAAGCAAACTACAAGGTGTGGTCTGCAGGGAAAGAAAAACTAGAAGCACTGAGTACATCACTAGCATTGGTGCCATTAACTTTACGAATCATGTCAGAACACCTCCGCGGTGAGATGAAGACCAAGTGTCTAGCGAAGGGAGTTATCCGCTTATATATAACATCTGCTAACCTTGATACTCACGTGTGACAAGTCAGAACAATGTACCTCTATACTGGCAGTATCGATCAGAACCACTTCCCAACCAAGTTCCACAACTTTTCCTGTGCAGGAGAGGCCTGGCTCTCGCTCAACGGTTTGTCTCCTGCCTTTGGCTTGACCTCATACTCAGAGCCATCCGTCACATTGCCTGGCGAATCTGCATCGACTTTAGAGTCCTTCAAAAAGGCCTCAACACTCTCCTTAGTGTCTCTGAATTTGGATTTTCGAGGTCAGCAGATTCGGCTTCTCTGGCACGCAGCGCAACCTGTTGCAGGACCCGTTCGCGAGCTTGGCTACGAGCCTGTTCGAGCAAACGCTCTTTACGCGAAACTTTGGGCGTCGAAGGCTGCAAAGTCTTGGGCATTGTGCGGAGGGTGATAGCCTCGGGGGGTGGCGAGGCCGGTTTTGTTAATTGTGGCGTCGATAGTGATACCCAAGAATCCACCTCGCGTCTGGTCTTCCTTCGACTCCTCTGAGACAACATCGTTGATGTCGATGAATCACTAGGTGGTTCCGAATCCGCTGTCATGTCTTTTTGAGTATCTGCTTCCGCTGTCGCTGTGGCCTCCATCTGTGCAAACGAGGGGTCGGGTCGCTCAAGGATTTGACTCCACTTGTTCAGCGCAATGCGCATTTTCTCGTGGTCTGGAGTAGGCGGCAGTTCTTCGGATGGAGAAGCGAACGGGGATGAGGTATAAAGAGGCTTTAGAGGATAGAAACCTCCCCACTCGTAGAAGCGTTGTCCAATTTCAATCCTTCTACCCTTCGTGAGGTTTAATGGTCTGCTGTCACCATTGAAACGCAAGTCACTTGCTGTCCACGTTGTGAGCACATGGCGTTGTTGCAAAATGAGAAAGAGTAAGAATATACACACCAGCTCGCTGAACATTGAGTTCAATTAATCTCGGATGTGTTGAAGGGCCTTCAGGAGAGTATGTTGAGGGACTGGAAGAGTCTGTATCCTTCACGTCAAATAGACCTTGAAGGTGTTCAAGCCCCGGGCCCCCTTCAGGGATAGTAGGATCTTGCGTTACAGCCATGACATTCATGGTGATACCCTCCTCTGGAATAAGGCTCATTGAGTCCTCAGACTGAAATGCAGCCCAACATATCATCTGGTACTCGGAGTTCACTTCTCCATCCTAATGGCGTTTGAGCAAACTGAAATGTGAAAACCACTCTACTGCACAAACCCGTATAAACCGGTATTCACGTATCCGCCCAAATTTACGCTCCATCCCACGAATGACAGCGAACGCGTCAACCATCCCACCTGCGAGCAACCTGGACGTGCGGATACAAACCGTACGCCGGGCGGGGCCGACATTATCATCCTCATCATGGTCTTTAAGTTCGAATCGCCTTGACCACGGAGGAGTTACTGTTGAAGCTACGCGCTTGCCTTCTTCGACAGTGTCAATGGTCGCATACGCTCTCTGCTGAAATGCATGACGGCTAGTTTGTCGCCCAGTTCTCAGAACAAACATTCCAAGTCGGATTGCACAGCCACTTACTGCAAGTAAAATAAAGAAAGGTGATTATCTAAGGCTGCGTCTATTTTTTTCAATGCATCATAGAACCGACATCCACAGCTTAGTACAGGCTCTCATCTCGACTTTGAGAGGATGGGAAGACCAATGTATCATCTAAATGCACCTTTTCGCCGTCCTCCATCATTTGTATAGTTTTTACACGGCGCATGGCACGCAGCCTGGGCGTTGGCAAATTACGCTCGACTAAGACGGCTCTACCCCTGATGAGCCGCTGAATCCGAATGGAGGTCGTCTTGGGTCGATGGAGCAGTGCGCTGTAACGCAACTCATCGACCAGACAGTAGCTAGACTTAGTGAGCGGGGGATGCCGCAGATTATGTTTTGGTTTGTGGTGTAGTCAAGGTAATTTCACTTTCTATTGGTAAAACGGGACGCCGACTGATTTCTATGTAGGTGATGGATCAATATTGGACTTCCGTTGGATCTTTCTCCGAAGTTCTCTCAGGCCTCGGACAAGTGTAGAACCGATGAATATGTTGTACAGGTGGGTATCATATCAAAACTTTTTCATGACGATTTCGCTTGCCGCCCCAGTCGTAGCTATGAACCTTGACGAACGGCAGAGCATATAGCCATTGCACCGCTGATTCTATCGTTGCCACTTTCTTTACAACAATTTGATGTTTACGGCTTATCTCACAGGGTTAAATTTACCATGAATACATCGCCCACGGTGTCGGAGCTATAGGCCGCTATGGCGAGGAAAGTAAACCGAGAATTTGAATAAGGGTCTCTTGTGCCTTGGCTGTTGACCTTCAGATCTTAACAACAAAGGTACATACGCTTTTTGTTTTTCGTTCACGCTGTCTTTTCTCATGTTTATTTAGTGTGCCTTCGTTTCATGAGTAGTCGTGACTGTTGACTTGTCGACTCTCAACACTGAGGGCACATCTGTTTATCCCAATTACTCGGACAATCTATCAATGAACTGAAATTTGTTCAAGAGCAGCAGGGTCGTTTGCAGCGTGCTCACCCCTGAAGCTTCTATGCCAACAACAAAAAATTCCTCACCTCGAGCACGTGGCGGCCACCAGGGATATAAGCCATTCTGCAACAAATGGGGTCTGCAAAATTGCGCGAAACTGGAGACTTGCCAGTCTCCCCTATCAGGTGGATTGGCAACAGCCACTCCTTCGTAATAAGGGTGACTTTGCCTGTATTCCCGCAATGAGTTGACAGTCGTCCCCAAATTCGAACGGCCTGACTTTGAGAATCAATGGACTTATCTGGTTATTATATCAGACTGGTATTGCATCGTTGCCAATTAATTCCCGCTTTAAAATGGCTCTCAATGACTTTCATATATTTCAAACTAACCATCTCTACATGTTTATAGGCAACATCAAAGATGTCTGGCTTTCACAAGCCAGATCCACTTGGCACGATTTATTTCTAAAATTCAACACATGCCTGACGACCTCGGTCCGAAAGTTCGTGCCGTCCCTGTCGATTTTGAGGCACCTCACTATGTTGTTTCATGTTCTCCCCACTCCCAGCTTCACTCCACACACAGTACCATTATGCAGTAATTTATCAATACATGTTTGGCAAACACTAGGGGGTTACTTGCCCTCGACTAGCAGAAACAATCCCATCCCTAGTATGCCCTCCCTGATTTTTTGTATGCATATGCTGTATGCAAATACCTTTGTAGTTCGAAATTTGTTCTGCTAGATTATTACTACTCGTATTATGTGAGAGCATTCTTTTTGACCGTGACAACTCTCTTGCGCATGATTGTGCTACCCTTCGGCCTCAACACTCGCCAAAGTTATTCTCTTTTTCGATAACAGAGACTTGACACTTTTGACTGCACTTTCTCTAGCACCGACGAGTCTCCTCGCTTTTGTGATGTCAAGATCCCTCTGCACGGCTGTGTAATCGGGCTGTCTGCTTCTCCTTCCTTCTGCATTATGGATTTCGTCTGAGGCCGAGGTGCCGCTCGTTGCCGATTCAGTATTCTGAATCAGGTCGCTTAACTCTTGCCGCAGACTTGCCAACATATCGTCGAGCCTTGTAAGCGTTGAAATGCATTCGTCCATCTCTTCGACTCGTTTGAATGTACGACATACTTCACTGGCGCAAGTCTCGATGTGAGTGAATCGAGCTGGTCCCAGAAGGGTCCCGCCGAACCTGTAAGTGAACGATAAGTAATCGTAAATTCCCCCCTAGCTGTGCTCCATAGAATAGACACAGCCGAAACTTACCATCGACTGACGATGACAACAGCGTCAAGTACACCCTCGTGTTGCATGACCCTCGACACTTTGCTCCCAGCCCATTGTTCCCCATCGTCATCATATCCTGCTTGAACCTCGAAGTCATCAGGACCTCCGAGTCCTGACTTGCCATGTTTCAGCATCATGCATCTCCACGCAGATATCTCATAGGCCTTCTTTCCAGCGTGAACGACATTTCGGTGATGGAAGATTGCAGCTTTAGCTTCTTCGGGTGTACTAGCGCGATACACGCTGCCCACGAACGCAGACCCACGGTCACGAATCTCCTGTGAGGTAGCCAAACATTTGGGAGCAGGGCGGTCGACCCTCACATATGAATACAGGTTAGACATGCAGCAGGTTCAAGATGACGGTGACGTCAAATGAACAAGCGAGCAGGTTTGCTCGATTATAAGTACCATAGTTAGTGGTAGTTAGAAGGTTCGTGTACACAAACTGTCAGTAAGATAAATGCAACAAGTACAGCAAAGAAAATGCTAGTCACTATTCGACGGGCTCCTTCCACCTCCATCTATATATGCAGGAAGAATGTCTGCCCAAACAACCATTGCACTTGCGTTATCCTAATCTAAGTCCAAATGATATATGCGTAATCAAGATAAAAGTGAGGTGACACATAACGACAGCGTGAAAGATTGAAAAAAAAGGTAGAGTAAGTCCAGTCATAGCGCACATTATATCGAATGAATGGTGGTACTGGCGTGAGATAATTCATGGTAAATCACCCTTGGTAGGCACTTCGTCCAGACATATATTGTGATGGGTCGACTGAGTAGGTCGAGGTTGGGCGTTGGGGGGGATAAGGGCGATGTAGCGGTGCTTCCCTGTAGCCTTCTGTGTGGATCCCGGGGCGAGGAGGATACTGCATTTGAGGCAGCGTTGCCATTGGTGCAGGCGACCCATATCTAGATGGCGGGGTCATCCGATCCGGAGAGTTGTACTCATGGAGTGGAGACGGCGGCGGTTGCTGCCGGGCATCGAAGTATCCGTATGACTGATGATCTGTCAGAAGAGGCAACTGATCCACACTCTGGTTCATGCGCGCTAATTCTATATCATTTACAGATTGCGATGGACCCTGGGCGAGGTAACGGTCGAAAGCAGGTGGCGCGGGTGATGCACGACCTCCACTAATTGAACCCGCATATTGATGGACCTTCTGGTGGTAAAGCGAAGCGTTGTCACCGCCTCTAGCATTGCCAAAGATCGCAGCCGATGCAATGGACCGTTGATCCCAGTCCAGTTCGCCTCGATCGCGCCGATAAAGGGCAGGATCATACTCCTAAATCGCGCTAAATTAGAATGTTCAGTATGTCGTTTCGAGACACAGACAAAAATATTCACCTGTTCGATAGCGGCAATCCTCAGGCCACCCTCAATGACTTGAGCGTCCAATTTCTGACCACCATATTCATCCAGCTTGGCCTTGTCACTGCCAATCTTTCCCTTGTAGACGTCCCCAAGCAGTGGCATCATCCTTGCATGAAGCATCGGAGTAAACAGATCTGCGTGAAGCGCAGGGTGACCGAAGCGCTTCTCCAACCCTCTTCCAGAAACATCTGACGTTGAGGAGTGTATCTTTGCTTCGCGAAGCTCGGTCTCCGAAGGTATGTAGTACAGGAAATTCTTGTAGAAAGTTCGGTCAAGCTGAAACTTGAATATGACGATGAACAAGATTGGAGGGACGGTGGTGAGCCACATGAAAGACTTGAAGCCGTACTGGAGGCCGATGGCTGGAATATGGTAAGTCAGCAGTCGCAGCCTTTGATGGTTAAAATGACTTACTCAGAGCCATCAACAGTTGCATGAGAATCACGGAGACGAGCAACCGGTTAATAATCATGTTCCAGAGACGCTGCACCAGGGTTAGCAACTCGAAAAACAAGTTGGAAACAAATAACCCACTCCTCCCGACTCAACCTTCGTGATGAAGACAAACATAAGTTGATACTTGTACACCCACGAACCTATCCAGAACACAATAGCACCGGCAAGTGCGACCAAAGGCGCCAGAGGAGCAAAGACTAGCGCAACGGTGGCCATGAAGAGCTGCGGAATGTGAATGGGCGTCAGATCAGATCACCGAACTTAACTCACGGTATTCGCGCTATTGGTGAAGATATTGGCATCAAAAGGGAGGTGTCGAAATGAGGCACGTACTAGTAAATAGCATACTCGAACTCTGGCGGCTGTGTCCACTCTCTAATATCACGGGGTGTGCGACCAAAGACGCTGAAATCTTGTGTCAGCGCGTGCGACAACGATAATAATAATAAGAAACAAACCGAGTCTTAAACGACGTCCAGAGAAGATTCAGGATCTGTGCCAGATCGAAGAGAACCAAGAAGCCACGGAGTCTGATATCACGATGACTTGCGTAAGCATATCCGCATGTAAAGCGCATATACACAAGCTCACGGGAAGTATGTCAACCAGTACGACGACTGATTTATATACGTTTGGTTGATTGTACTCGGCAAGGCTATAAAAACTGAATAAAACCCATGTTGTATATATGACGGGGTGACGCACTATGCAGGTTGTTGATAATATCCTGGAAACTGGTGTGGTGGACCGATCTCCGTTACAATCTGTTCCGCAGCAACTACAAAATGGACATTAGCATTCTAGAACGAATGACGGCAAGAATGATTTCTGACTGAATCCAACGCCAATGAGTGTAAAAATGATCAACTGGGAGATAACAAGGAAAGCAAAGTAGCGTGCAACGACAGCACGGTCAAGTCTGCCATAAATCCATCAGAACCAGGTAGCGATAAACAACCAGCGACAAAATGAGTTTACCGGCTGTGAGTAAGGGCACCTTGAAATTTACTTAACCAACGCATGACGATGGGGAGGAAAAAACCGAAAAGAGCTGAAATGGCAGGGGGCGAGACACCAGAAACAAAAGCAAATGATCCTGGAGATGCAATCGCCCACGTCGAGAGGAAACCCACGTAGGCAGATATCTGTAGAGGAATCATTCAATTGACCAAATACCCAACAAAACGCAAGAATCATACCGAGCTCAAGTTTGCCAAGATAGAGATGATGAACAGGGGGATAGTGTTGAAGAAACAAAATAGCACCAAGAACAAAGAACCGACGAATTTATTGCCGATGAGCTCGGAAGTTGACTTGTTGAAATTTACCCATATCTACGGAAAATTCAGTATATATCCATAAGTCGGTGTTTAAATACCACACAATGTCTTTGGGGTTCGGCGCAAGAGCGATGTCGGTACCTTTCGGGTGCTTCTTTCGAAGTAAGGTAGCAACAATGTGAGCATACGGAACCGCCGCCATGGATGCAAAACCGTAGTTCTCTGCTTTTCGGGTATCAATCTGCTGACGATAATCCTCAATTGCTTGCTCTGTGCGTCTCAGCTTTGCGCTGCTTATTGTTAGCGATATCGCAACAAATAGAGCATAGGTACATACGTATAGAAGTCAATAGCATCCTTTTTGGTACCACCCATGCCCATGAATCCACCTATCCGAATTGTGGGCCGCTCTTTCGCTATTCTGCCGCCCTTGAGGTATGTCACGAGAACCTGCTCGAGTTCGCGAACGGCAGTGTTATGGTATTCAATAAGCTCGGGTAGCCGTCCGACTTTACGACCAATGTGCACCGAGGTAGTAGGGTATGGGACTTGAACACTTGCGAAGATGGCTTGGATGCCCTCGTCAGATTGGTATTTCTTGGGTACACGCATGACCGCAAGTGTCCGCGCATAAAAGGATTGCATATATTCGGGAGAGCGAAACCATTGCTGCCGAAGACGAAGCACCTCTTTCCAGTGACGCCATACGAAAACCATGACGAGCGCTGAGATCACGTACGAGACCACGACATGTGCAAAGAGGAAAGAACCCTTCACATCCCGGATGGTCAAAATGGAAAGGACATCCCGTTCCGTCGAAGGAACGTTCTTGAGGTTGTAGGATACATTAATTGGGATGAGAATGGCGCAACATGTAAAAGCGATGGCCGAGTAAAGTGATCGGGTCATGCGAGTGAATCTGAGAAAGGTGACGGCATCCAATCCAAGCTTGTCAACAAGCTCGGGCTCCTTCGTGCGTATGAGAGGAGGCAGCCATCCCAAAAGGGAGTCAGATATTCGTGGCGGCTGCTTGTCACCGATGTGATACTTGACTTTGGGTTCATAGATGACCTGTATAGCATGTATGTAGGATATAGCTATGTGATATGGTGAAGAGACGTACCTTGTTCTTAGGTCGCAATACGTTGAATACCACGATAGTAAGGGTCTGGAAGGAGTGAGCAGGATTCTGAGAGAAAACCTATATAACTTACGGAAATGATTGACATCAAAGCTACCTGAGAGCCAACTGCAGCTGGCGTGATCGTCCTGGAGGCATTTTCATTGATAATTTCGCCAATGTCGGCCATGGTAGAGAGTGAAAAGAGTTTAGCGACTCAGCTATCGAGAAAGAATGTCAAGGGTCGGTCAGTTCAGGAGTGGAGAAGAAGGTAGTGACGCTAGATAGGTGCCGGTGTGGATGCTATTGTTCCGGATGAACCTTTTTTGAGACAAAACACAAGGATTGGGTGCTCCACTATTTGTTTCTACTGCACTTGCAAAGAGGCCGCAAGGTCGTGGTGGTATCGTGTAACGAAGCAGACGTGACTTGTAAAATTGTTCCTCGTGCTCGCTGCAACCTGGACCCGACGGCATCAACTGACCACATTGAACCCTTTAAGGCCGTCTGTCACATTGCTGTGACCAGTGCATGCAACTTTTAGATTTACACGTTCTATCATAGTGCTGAGGTACTGGAAGAATAGATGCGGCACGAAGCCTGAGGGCTTATGGACCCTCTATCAAAGCAGCTACGAACCCTGGTTCATTTTTGTTATATCCCTACTACATCAAACTGTCTCCACGGACCGACTGGTGTAAGCTGAACCACGACGACCTACTGCCGCCCATGCTCCACTCGGAAAAGTCTTGGTTTGCGATCTGGACCATGTTTCCCTGGTTACGTCTGGTTTGAACTTTAGGATCCAAACCAAGTTGAAAGTCCGGACATCGGTGAGTTGGTGATTTTTTTTCGGGGTTGATTGCGATATCATATTTGCGATGCTACCTTGCGATGCGGTCTGTGATGGCCATCAAGCAAGTCAGCGAACACTTCCCTCTAGATCTTCATGAACGCATCATCCCGGGCAGACTGATATATAATACAATCTTTGCAGTTCGATGTAGCAGCCATATCGTGGTACATGTTTCGATGAAAAGCAAGGTTGTGCGACTCGAATTGATAACTTCCGATCCGAATCGCACAACCATGTTGTTTGATAAAGGTTTTCATTACTGTCGCCCAGACTGGGAAGAATTTCTACTAGGGCCAGTGCTTTTGCACCATTTCCACTCCATTCCAGATGCAGCAGCGATTGTTCATGTTGTAACTTATCGATGTCCCTTCAGTGGTACTGCCTTTTTTCGTTATTTTTTCGGGAGCATCTGATTCATGGTTACCTTTTCAGGGCTTTAACTCCAGCTGAATTCCTGCCATCGTATTGATCGCTGCGACATGTATTGCATCTGACTGTCCGAAGCTTCCCTGCAGACAGGTAAAGGTTCGGACACGATGGAAAGGGTCTCACGACGCTACGGGGAGGTTGTTATTCTTCACACTTGTTTACGCTATAACTCTTTAGTTAGTGGTCTATGTTTGTATGAATATATCAGTACAGATAGCTTATACGAATCTTTTGACCCTTGTATCAAGATAACGAGTCGGTCATTCCGTGGTGAGGAAATCACTTATCGGGTGGTACAGATCTATCTCTATCGCGGTCTCAACCTTGGGATGCACATTGGCAGAATGTCTCGAGGGCGTCACGCTTCTTGAAGGAGCACTCGAATGCCAGTCGTCGTAGGCAGCAGTCTTATGTCGATCAACCCTCCTGTTCAATGTAGCCAATCGTATTAGTACTGAATTCATCGGTAGACCAAGTCACTTCCGACTTTGAAATGATATAAAATTTAAGCTATTGGTAAACCAGAGGTGACTCGAAACAGGGTCGCAACTTACAATGCATTTCGTCACTCGAGGTGCAATGGCAAGCACCAACTCTATGAGCGCAGCGGTCGTGGGTACTAGCCCAGTCTCGATGGTCAGTTTAATAAACTTCGCGAACAATGAATTTGTGCACTTATAAAACCCGATTTTTCATTGCATTGCACGAGCTGTGATTAGAATGAGCATGATCAAATGATAGAAGTCAATGTATCTTATATACACTGAGCGGCATGTACACGGTTATGACTGAGTCGCACACAAGGCTGCCGACTAGCCAGACCTAGTGGGTCTGTGTTGAAGAAGTATGCCTATGCCACTGCCACATGCAATACAACTCGCTGGGACTTCAGATGCCATGTGGTGGTCGACATTTGTGTCAGCAACCAAGCCATAATGGAGTCGTTTCAGGACGAGCCCATGGGATAGATGACAATGCTTTCCCACTGCACCATTGCAAACTGCACCAACAAAAGCTGTGAACGAACTTTGTATCAGCATCAAATAATCAGCGCACTCACCATAATAACCAACACAGGAACGATCATTGATTTCCTCACAGCCCAAATTCTCCCGTAGAAGAAACCGTGGGTTAGTGACAAAACTACCATGTTCCGCCTCTACTGAACCATCTGTATCACTCACCCAAGTCCAGTAAGTGGCGCTAAGGCAGTATATATATGACCACAGAGGGTCAGGAACTGACTGTTGCCAACCAATGCCGACTGCAACAACCCAAGATAGGTTAGATCTGTGCTGAGTAGCACCAGACCAAAAACCATGAAACGGAAAGACTATGATGATCGTTTCCAGCAGCCAGATCACAGACACTTCTCCGGGTCAGCACGACGTCAATGCGCAGTAATATAGGCACAACACCTAGAACTTTTGTCTACATTCGGTCTTTTGGGAATCGGCGGAAGTAGATGGCTGATATTTTCTAGTTTCAGGCCGGAGCACAGGTGTATTTGATAAGGGTAACGTATCGTATTGCACTAAGAGGATGCCCATGATTGTAAAGCAATATGTATACCTAGGGCGTAGTTCAGCACTTGAGTCAAGATAGCCAAGAGCATCCCTCACGAACGGACCCTCGCCGTCGTTCTACGTGTTTGGTAAATTCACATCGAATAGAAACTAAGTGCGATACTTGATCGAAAAGTGTCGAAAGACCTTGTTAAGTCAAAGTGTATCAAAACCTGAAAGTGAATGATCAACTTACAATTGGTGATTGGTAGATATCATCTTCAAATTGAAGAACTGGTGTGACGGACTATACCATCGATCTATTCCTCCATGAGAGTGTTGAGAACTCGAGCCACCTGACCCACAGCCTCCCTTACTCTATCTTTGTCCGTTTCGATGACCTTCCGCATGACCCGTCCTTCAAACTTATCTGGATGAAACCGTAGCATTGTCTCCCGTAATTTCTCTTTCTTCTCCTTCTTGTCACGATCATGAGTGGGGAGAGAAACACCGACGTCCTGAGCGAGCGCAGAGATTGTAGAAATCGGTATCAGGAATGCAGATATTGCTGTTGTCGTGAGGTGTTCCAATGTAATTGAGGATGAGTCCGAATGAGCGGAATCTGAGTGCATCACGGGTACAAATAGTGGCCATGGTATGTCTCCGAAGGAAAGAGAAGAGCTATGCCGAGCATTGGGATCCAAGAGATCCTTCCACTTTCTGTCATACTCTGCTCGAGCGTTCTCCTCTCGTTGGCTGTCCCTTTCTCTTTTCTTCTGTTTTCTTCGCTCTTCCACAACCTTTTCAAGTCTGGCCGTCTCTGCTTTCATTTCCTTCTTCCTAGCGCTTCGAGCTGCCTTTTCCGCCTTCATGCGTGCTTCTTCTTCGTATTGGCGCGCATTTTTTCGCCTGTTACGGGGACACTCAATACAACTGCAGGGAACTACTTGCAGCTGAGAAACAAACCTCCACATCCCTGCTCGAATCCACTCGGTGTAAGTGTCATCGTCCATGAACCGCGGATCCATTTCCGTTTGGTCCTCAGAGCTTCCACCGCTGGCTGCGTTCGCCCGCCATCTATCGGGGACATGGGCATAATCGTTAAATCTAGCGTCTATACCATCCAGCCGTTCATCATCCCGTAAAGCATCCCACATTTTCTCTCTGAAGCGAGCGTCTTCCAACTCAGAAAGAATGGTGTCATAATCAGGTTTGTGCGCGGATGACAGCGATGGGGGAGGTGGAGGGCCATAAACCTCTTCGTCAAGATCAGAATCAATGTCTTCTCCTCTGCGTCTCCTTTTGGAGCTAGATTCTCCATGCTGACCTGCTTCCTCCGACAGATATGACCGTTTCCTTGCGGTCCTTGCGGCTTTTCGAGCCTTGCGGAGAGCCCGTTCGGCCTCCTCGGCGGGAGTGCGTTTAAGATGTAACTTAGCCATTAGTTGACATCGCCTTGGAAGGACAATAGCCAATGAACCTGTCCTGTGTTAGGTGCGAAGAGAAGGGAGAATGCTGACTCAGCATTGTATCACGCTTTGGTTCCTTCCATTGACTTACCTTGCGACGACATGCACTCCGAATTCTTATATGATAGTAAGTGGTCTCAAACACCAGTATATTGAACATACTAAGTCAAATTCAGCGGCAAGAAAATGGTTCTTCCTCATACCTCCCATCTTTGGTCCACTTCAATTTTTCATCGATGCCCCGTTCGGAAGATTTGCTCCATCCAATGACAGCATCTTCGTTGTGGATGGAATCAAGTCCTGGATTATTATGGAGTTATTCTCTCCCATCAGCTTCATCGCCGTACTATACCGCGGGCCCTGGGCGGCATCATTGTCTGCGATGTCCACCCCCCAGGTCATCCTCACTAGCCTGTTCATTATCCATTACCTGAACCGTGCAATAATTTCCCCTCTGCGAACACCATCTCGCTCGAAGTCGCACATCGTCATGCCCCTCTTCGCTATGATATTCAACATTGTGAATGGTGCTCTGATGGGTACCTACCTTGCATCACCCACTGCATCTGCGTTTCTGGCGGGGGCCTTCTCTCGCCCATCCTTCTGGGCTGGAACAATACTCTGGGCGTGTGGCTTTATCGGAAACATTTTACACGATGAAGTACTTCTCAATATCCGCCGTAAATCTAAAGCGAAAGGCAAACGCAACGAGAACAAACTCGGAAAGGAACACTATGCCATCCCCCATGGCTACCTCTACCGATATATCTCATATCCAAACTACTTCTGCGAGTGGTTAGAATGGTTTGGCTATGCATTAGCCGCTGCACCATTACCTGCTCTCATATCGCTTACAGAGACGATGAGAACAGTCCAGCCCCCTTGGTTGTTCTTCTGGGCAGAAGTTTTATTCATGATTTCTCGGGCATACAGGGGCCATCAATGGTATCACAAGAATTTCCCCGAGTACCCCAAGGAGAGGAAAGCTGTTGTGCCGTTTATCTTTTAGGCTGCCGGATGTAACACAGGGGTTCTGAGGACAGCTATTAATGTTACAAGTTCTTATATCACGATCATCCTGTTTCACTACCAACTTTCCATGATGCTCCTAGTACTATATGAGTGTACGATCTATCATTCAATCGTTTCATATAAAAAAAACAATAAAACAGACTTGGCCTGATATGGAATTCATTCGCCGCTTAAAAATGCCTTCTGCGGCAAATTCGACATCGTCACTGCTTGCACCGACAAACTAACAAAAATTCATTGACAGTCATTCAATTCTCGGTCTTCGGTCCTTTATCCTCGTCACGATTTCTGTTAAGATGATGTCTTCCGATGAACCTGGTACAACCCCTTTCCACTCCGCACAAGCATCATTCTCGAAGTTCCAGCGCCAATATCAACAAACACTTGACCGATGGACTCCTCACGTCCTTCAGCGATGGTTGGCGACTTTCTTTCTACTGGCGCTCTTCATGCTTAGGATTGTGCTGTCCCAGGGGGTAAATACCAACTTATTCTGTGTTCGGGATGAAACTGACTAGCTACGTGTCAACAGTGGTACATTGGTTCGTATACTTACTTCGTATACATGATCTCTGGCTCACCAGTTATGTCTGTGGCACTTGAATGGATGTGCAGTCTGCTGTGCGTCTGCTCGTCCTTTTGGCTTGAAGTGTATCTGACGGAGCTTTATAACAGACGGCTTGGCTATTTATCTTTTGAACTTACTTCTTGCATTCCTGCAGCCCAAGTTTGACCCTTCACTTGAGGATGATCTTCTTGCGGATGAGATTGAAGAGGGCGGCGATCAAAGCGTGCCTGTGCTTCCCTCTCAGCGAGATGATGAGTTTAGACCTTTTGTGAGAAGACTTCCCGAATGGCAATTTTGGTGCGACCGCTGGTTGTATTGCTCCCCTTTTTGGCACTGACCATTTACTATTTCCACAGGTTAAGTGCAACAAGGGCCACTCTTGTATCACTCTTCTGTACCGTGTCAGAGGTCTTTGATGTACCAGTCTACTGGCCGATCCTCGTGGTCTACTTTTGCGTTCTCTTCGCATTGACAATGCGTCGGCAAATTCAGTGCGTTCCTATATCCCAGAATTGTGGTCGTAACTGTAACGTTTTTGCCAGGCACATGATCAAGTACAAGTACATTCCGTTCGACATAGGGCGCAAGGCACGTTACGGTGGAAGCAAGTAGACACTATTTACCGCTTCTTGTCATACGGAACATTCTTTTCACCTATAGATTTTGGATCATAATGCAGGACTATGTTTATTGCTGTACCATTCCCATGATTTTTGATGTCCGCAAAGTTTTCCGAGGCGGCGATAGGATACGGTATGGACTTACGGCGCTCATAATCTGCTTGTTATTGCTGGCACTGTTACTTGGCAGTTTGAAATATATGGCTGGTGAGCTATCTAGTTGATAACTTTCGGCTGAAATTCGTTTTAGAGTATGAGCAACTGATTCTCACGGTTGTGACAAGCGAATGTGTCACTCCGAGCGTCTGCGTAGAGGTTTGGTCCTTCAGAATAGACGGTGAGATACTAATCCATACTAATTCCTAGCATGTTCATGTGACCGGTCTCAAGATCTCATGGCCTGAGCGTTCTTGAAGTCCACCGCATTCCGCGAGGCTGCTACCGATACGTTTGCTCGGCGCTATGAACCTGCGAGCATTGCACATCATGAACGAAGAAACTCATCTGCCTGCCGTGCAGCACATGGCCCAACACGTCCTCAACCAATTGCAAGAACATCGATCACGATGTCCACCTAGTCTACGACCAACCCCCTTATTTGTTGGCGTTCAAGGTCCACAAGGCAGTGGAAAGACTTTCCTAACTTCCCGCCTCCGTGCCCACCTCGCCAGTCCACCACACTCCCTCGCTGTTACCGTACTTTCCATTGACGACCTCTATCTTCCGCACTCTGGACTCCAAAGTCTTGCGGAAAGCAATCCCCACAATATCCTCTTTCAGGGAAGAGGACAGCCAGGAACACATGATGTGCCTCTCGGTACTTCGGTCTTTAGAAACCTCAAAAAGATCAATGAAGTTGATGCAGGGACTGTTGACATCCCTATCTTCGATAAGAGTCTATTTAATGGACAGGGGGACCGCATATCTGATGGCGAGACGGTGAAAGGGCCCGTGGACGTAGTTGTGCTCGAGGGATGGTGTGTGGGATTTTTCCCTACCAGTAAAGAGCTCGTCGAAGAAAGGTTGAAAGAACCTGTTCCGACTCTTGAACCCGATATGTTCAACATGAAAGCCTTCGTGTCCGTGGATCACGTACTGGCCGTCAACGAGCAATTAAAGCGATACGTGGAGTGGTGGAGTGCACTTGATGCTTTCATACAGGTAGACACCTCGCTCTCGACGCACCCATGGCATGCGACTCACTCTTTTGAAGATAAAGGGGCCTTCGTCTGCACAGCTATCTATCATATATCAGTGGAGATTACAACAGGAACACAATATGAAAGCTAAGAATGGCGGAAAAGGCATGACCGATGACCAAGTCAAGACGTGAGTGCTTCTTTTCCTCTCATGTACTGTTGATAACATTATGAGCAGCTTCGTAGACCGCTATATTCCCGGATATGTCTTTTTTGGTGACGGAGTGACAAAAGGATTTTCAGGCGGTGAAGGAGCGGAAACAGAGCGACTACCGTCGTGGATAGGGAAGGGACTATCGGTCACGATTGGTAATGATAGAGAGCTCCTACATGTCAGTAATTTTTAGAAATAACGCTAGAACACATGAGCTTTCCAGAGGACTGCGCATGAACTGCGCTGACTTTATCTTGGCCACAAGGGCGATGAGGCTGAGTGTATTATCTCCTTCAGGCATAGTTAGCTGGGACTCTTGGTATTTGGGAGCGTGTGTCTGACCCCCAAGCAAGATCCGAAGGTGCAGCGCCTTTTCTCATCTCTTCTAGAAGCTGATCACTTGTCCGAGTCATAGATATGAAGTTTAAGGCCAGTTCAGTTCCTGGTTGCTTCCGTCCGAACAAACTTTACAGTATACCTATGCCATGTCTGCTTACGGGGTTATCAACAGACCACAAAGGACATCGTATTTGCCCACTACGTTATGGGATAGTCCCCGAGTAGAGCCAGATCTCGGGACCCCATCTTTCGTGACCATACACCACATCGATCGGGCCGCGGTGGAGCGCGTCCAAACTGGTCTATTCAACTACCTCCACTCCACCTTTGCGAATGAAGTCGACAAAGGCTTAACGTATCCACAAGAAGACATCAGCGATCCCACAGCCTTCGGAGCATACTTCTTCGGCGGAGACGTACTCGTCGGAATCGCTGGCAAAGGAGATCCTCCCGCGATTAAGAGCGAACTTGAAGCGCGCGGGGTGCGGGAGATCGAGCAAAGTTTAGATGTTGCAAGAAACGGGCGGACATGGGAGGAGTGCATCGCAGGGTTTTACTACGTCAGTCGCGATCCCTAGCCTAACAATCGTGTCACCCTCAATCTCACACACTGTCGAACTCTGTGGAAATCGATGATGACAGGTAAAACCCAACTACCCTGGGCGATCTTCTCATGTGAGTTTTTTGGGCAAGGGATTCACCGGCTCGGCTTCGGCTTGCATGTCATTTGAGATGAACTAGGCTCGTCCGCTGACATATCATTTCTACTGTAGATCTGTAATGCAGGATTTATGGTGCCCCTGTCCCAACGTGGCAGTGGTTATGGGCGTATCCTCGCTAAATCATATCTGCACTATGCACCAGCATTGGGATACAAGGCAAGCGTGTTTAACCTAGTGTACAATAATAACGTCGCCAGCGTTAAGTGAGCTTTGATGATCTTGGTTGATCCGTGTTTTTGCTGATCACTTCGATTGCAGGTTGTGGGAGGCACTGAACTTCACGAAAGCTGGACTTATACCCAAGGCCGGTCGTCTGAAGCGGAAGGACGGGGAGGGCGAGGAATATGTTGATGCGATCGTCTTCTATAAGAGTTTCGAAGAAACATGACCAGAGACAGATGATCAGTGATCAGATAACAGTCCTACGACGGATATGTGCTCCTGTAGTCATGAGCCAAAGCCTAAATGTTACTCACGGAGCTCGCAGATTGATGCAAAGAAGCTTGAACATATAAAGACACCTGAAACGATGATCACGAGGCACCGCGACAACTAACATCCCAGTTCCAGCCGATCGAGGTATTTAGGGAAACGCCCTAGGATGATCAAATTCAGCATATGACAGGCATAATGACATACATTCTCTGCTTCAAGTACTGTTTGCGGTCTCCAAGCCTTCCAAGTCGAGTACTAGCGCAATCATGGGCGTCTATTTGCACATCTCGAAAGTTCTGAACAGAACGTGGCACCGACATGTAGGCGTTAATGACGATCGACCCTTGATAACAAACCCCAAAAGTCGAAACAGCCTCAGAGTGACGGATTGTGGGGAAGGTGCTATATCATTACAAGTCAGCTGGTGTCAGTATGTCAGAGATGACATCGAAAGAGGGTGATGCCGAGCCTGCGTGACGCATATGCGCCCCTGCCAATCATGATGTAGACAATTTATGGTACTAGTGACGGCGAGTGGGTGCTTCCCAACGCGATGCAAACGTGTGATAATAAAGGGTGCAGGACTGGAAGGGTAGACAGACGGATCGGATGATTTTCAAAAGAGGAACTTCGAGTCTAGGGTTATCCGGTGCTAGAGGTCCGATATCAATCCTGTCTCGACTCTCGAACACTTCTGCATTCGCGAGATAGGAGATGCATGTGATATCCAGCGATGTACTGGACTTGCGAGGTGGAGCGAAAGATAGGGCATAGAACTCAGCCAAAAAGCCTCTGTTCTCACCAGCAGCGACCCGTGTATGAAAGTGGAGCAAGAACATGTCAAAGAATAGCGACTGGACCCTGCAAGTGAAAGAAAAAACACACCCAGACAGTTTGCTGCCGAAACCTGTACATGCCTATACTCGTTCACAGAACATCATGGAGCAAATTCCCCACACTCCATCAACGCAGCATTGCATCAGTTGCCAGAGAACGAGAGTCGAGGATCGAAAATAGTGACAGTCGACGGCCTGAAAACATGATTCTGTGAATGCTGATGGGTTTGGCACATCACTCCCAGCGACGGTGGTTGGCACACGGCAGTGCATAATCACCAATTCGATGGCTAATACACCATCCGCAGTCAGTGATATTACAGCGTCTTTGACCAGTACATTATGCCAACACACAGCAGTGTGCGATATCGCTGATACATCAGTTCTCTGGATAGTAACACCCTCTACAGCGGCGGGACTTGACCAGTGCGTTATCCAGTGCATTACGGTCCAGTGCGCTATCGTTAAGCTCCGGTGTGCATAGATCTCCGGTGCGCACAGAATCATGATTGGCATGCAAGCCACGGCACGACGAAAGACTTCAAATAGGTGATGCTTCGATCTGGCGCCATCATTTTCGGCTTAAAATGCAACAATGACAAGAAGGCCGCGGAGAAATGGTGAGATGCTTACATCGCAGACCGCAACTGTGCGCTCCTAATGGAAAACGCATCCACTATCTTGATTGTCAAGGTGGCTGCGGCAGTTTAGGGAAGTACTAGACGACAGCCAAAACAGTCTATGCATCGCGACCTTCCAGGCAAAGCAATGAACGCCGTGTCGTACTCTGTGCACCGAGACCTCGTGTCTGTTGGGCATGAAACTGTAAGAGGATGAAGAAGATCGCATAGCATAGCTGTAGGACGGGATACTCGTGTAATGCGCCCCTTCGACAGCAATATCAATATGATCTATAAGCTCGAAACTTAACTTTACCATTTGTACGAGTGACTCGTTAAATAATGAACTCACATTGTCGGCATGCACGCCACCCTGTGGAGAAGGCCGCACCAAGGGTTACCAAATCAGCAAACCACGATGACATGAGGCTACAGCATGTATCTGCCCCTGGTTTTTGAGGACCAAGATACAATGAAAACGCGTTCGATTGTTCTTTCTTTTGTGTCAAGATTAGCCTTGCGATCTACAAGATCTCGCCTGGTCAAAGCCTAGCCGCATCAACTTGGACTGGGTGGTAGTAGGAATGGGTATGCCTGCCATACGATGCTGTTATGGAGGCACGGTCTGGAATCTTAGAATCCAAGGTTGTCCGTTAGAGGCCTTCATGAACCATAAACAGCCACTTCTGCGACTTATCTCGGCTAGACAAGAAGCTTTAATGAATTCTTATGGGCCGATTAGCCAAGCTGCATGTGTCAAAGGCTCATGTCAGCGTCCATCTCGCATGGATAATTTGATGGGCACACGCGCGGCACCCTGCTGACAATTGTGAGATAAGCACTGTCAAGATGACCGAGCAGTTGATAAATCCCTGCGTTCCTATTGACAGCTAGTGACTCGCTGTATATGAGTACTCGCTGGCCACGCCACTTGCAAAAAATTGCAATATCTTGGCATAATGGAGAGAGACCGCAGCGACGCAGCAACACTGAAAATTTAATGAGGCTTAACGCCGGAGATAGCACCCCAACTCCAGTTAAGTGCAAAGATACGGATCGCGAGCGAGTTGCTTACCATAAAGGGCGGGAGAAAGAAGAGGTACCAACACCATCCCCCCAAAAAAAACGTGTACAGCCCCCTGGCATATGAACGTTTTTCCATCGGAAAGGTCTGATAGAACTTTGCATACTACTCCTAGCGCTCGGGTTCAGATAAGGCAGTCGGTTTGTACCGACCAAACATGGTTTGGTGGGATCTGATGTGGCGCTTTGAATTCAAAGGGCTCTTTGTGCTATGGTTATAGTTCACGTCGAACAAGGGACAGCACGTACAACAAACCCATGCAGATTACTGCAGCTTGTCTAGCTGTAACGTCCTGAACTGTATCGGTTCCGGCGGAGTTTTAGTAAACGTATTGCCTGCTGGCAGTATAACGAAATCAATCATCGCAAGAAGTCGGCTGGCACGTCGTACGACTCGGTGTGTGTAAGAGAACTATCTATGCGTAGAAGCGATACATCGCTTGTCGCTTGGTACCTCGAGGCAGGCAATCAAATACTCTCATTTCTCATCAATTAATCAGTCTCGCTTTCATTCCGATATTGCAGTGATTGGCATTTTTGATTCTTCAATATAGTTGTACATATGCCTAATGAAATACTGTAATGCGCTATTGACACAACATATGATGATAATGCAGTAGTTGAAGCACGGTCCCGGAACAACCTTGGGCCAAGTAATGATGCGGCAGGGTATAGATAGTCCTGGTAAATAACATATCGCGACCGATTGATGGTGACCGACAGCGATGAAGGTGTATATATTAGCAGCGTCATCAAGACGGGCAAAAATGAGTGTATAAGTGGCAGTAAGAGAAATGCAACAAAAACCACAATGCACTCAATGAGCCGCCTTCACCACACAGCCGGCGAAGCGAACGCGAACATCTTGTGCTTCGATGGCGGTGGTACTGGCACAGGCTCGTGTTTTGGTATACCTGGAGATGAAGAAGCCGAAACGATGCGTGCAGTACAGTCCTCCATACCCGGCGGTGTTGGGGGTGATGCCGTTGACGCTGGAGACGTCGATGTTGAATAACTTGGCGATGGCGTATCCGGCGTCGTGGGCGGGGTAATGTAAGAGGAATTTGGCGGAGGGAAAGCGGGCTTTGGAGGCGATGGATACCGATGGCCATATGAAGGCGTGGGCGCCAAAGCGGCTGGAGGCGGCGGGAAGGGATTTGTGGTAGGTGGAGGGGTTGTCTTGGACGAGGATGGAAGGATATAAGTCGGGTAAGGTCCTTGACCTGCGAAATCCTTCTTGACCATGTCTTCGAACTCCCTGAGCGTCACCGGATCCACATTAAGTTCCCACTCCAGATACTGACACATCTCGCGCTCCATCTGATTGATTTCTCGCAATTGGAACATACCCTGGGCTACAATACTCCAGGATTTGTTGGAGTAAGTGTCGTCACAGATGACCTTGGATGCGAGCATGAAGGCGGATACAAAAAGACGGTGACCCGAAGATCCCCGAGCAGTGGGGAAGCGCGCTTTGAGTCGCTGAAGGAGGACGAGGGCAGCGAAGGTTACAGAGGAATGAAGCTTTGTCCGGTGAAGTGCATACGCGATGAAATGAGGGAGCTTTACTTGTGAGTTAGAAGACGAAGGGGGGTACTCTGGACAAGCAAACAAATGCGTAATGAAGCGACCGCATAATCGGGAAACCTGCTCATGACCATAGAAAGGGTCAGAATGTCTCGTCGTGGGTTGAGTAGACTGAGGTTTAGGTGGTGCCTATGTATGTATGATTAAGGATATGAATATGACGAGCGGCTACTAAAAACTGACCGACGGTGCAGGATGATAACCCATTCGCGAATGAGGAACACTCTGGGTATTCCGAAATGGGGAAGGGTGGGTAGGTATTATAGGACCATGTACAGCAGCCATAGTTGATGGATGATGGTGAGTGGAACGGGCGGCGTGGTGTCGCGAAGGTGATCTGAAAGTGCAAGTGTGTCAGAGTTTGGGAGTTTAGTTAGAACGGGACAGGAAAGAATGACGGGGTATATAAGAATTAGGGCAGTGTGAAAGCAAAGAAGGAAAATGAATGGAACCAAAACCATGAGCCTGGGATACGAAGATAGGTTTAGCAACGGCAAGGTCACTGCACCCTTCCAGTCCAATAGACTCCGCGCAACGAGGCGAAAAGAAAAAAATTAAATTATTATTAAAAATATTACCTAATACATTCAACCAGGAACAATGGAATGGAGTGGTCTGCACTCACTGCGTGCTAAAGGGCCGAATCTTTATGTCTCGCTAATTAGCCTCGAGGTGTAATAGAAGCTCGATTGATCTGAGGTTGCCGCTTTATGAAAACTGCGCAAGGATGAGGGCTACAGCTCGAGTAAGAGAGAGATAGAAGTGTGGAAATTTTAACGATTTCGATTTTCAATCACTCCGTATATATATGCAGAACTGTGTCATTGTGGGCGCTTTTGAGCGAATGATCTGATGACACCTCAGTGACCCACTTACATCGGCCCTTGGTACTCATCGGTTCGCCCTGCCGCCTTTCCGAACTGGTTTGCTTAAACCCTTCTAGGCCATATGTGGCTATGCTTCCTGCCCTAGTTTGTTCCGGGATCACAGCACAATGGTACAAAGTTCCAGTACATCCTAGACTCCCCCTCTGCGACACACACGGCTCGACGCTCACTGTCAAATTGACATTGCTTAGGTGTCATACCGCACGGCTTTAGGTATATCCGATCAGTCTCAATAAATTTTCGCTGTCGTTCCGGTTAACTTCACAGTCTCATCCCGACACGCTTATCAAGCATTACTGCAACTCTGGCGACCCTCATGTACCATGATCCGGATGAGAGAAGCTCATCATACTGTTTTTCTCCAGACACGACAGCTTTCTCCCCTAACGGACTGTTGATCCGCGGGAAGCAGTGTCCAGAATCACACTGTCTCTTGTACCAATACTAACTCGTCTAACCGCAGCCTGTCCGATACCTCCCTTCCGAACTTATACACATGTTGCGAGTACGTAACACAATAGATGCCTTTGCGACTCACATGGTAAACGACTCAATCGCTACTATAGATTTCACGTCAACGAAGCCTTGCACTTATCTTCGAACACACACCCCACGGGTGTTGAGTTTTTAAAACCCAGATCAGGCCACTACTAGATAGACCGTGACGGCGCGCGTCGGTTCACTTGACGGCACTTTAGCTTTCAGCTTGCCTAAACCCCATGGCGATATACATAGCGTTTCGTGTGAGTATTATCATGCCATGCTTTGGCATCCCCCTTGGGCCTTCGGTCCTTGCGGCGATAAAAAGTCATGGCAGTGCAACTCTTGCGCGTTTCATAACCAAGAGCCTCCAACCCGTCGGCGGCTCGGCGTCATGTGATCCCTGTTACGCCATATTCCAGGCCACAGGCTCATCACCATCCGTATAGTAGAGACAGCCGTTAGATCCCGATATCACGGAAATTCGGCCATCCTGGAACTGGATATGCCACCTTGATTGCAGTGTCTGCCATGATACGTGTCACTGTTGTTCTGTTTGTTGCCTTAGTTGAGCCCTATTCGTGCCATTGCACCACAACTTTGCCTGGCACGCAAGTCAGTATGAATCACGAATGGAAGACAATGTGACTCTGCGTACATGAGAATTCCGCCTATCGAGCGTAAATGGATGATCATTTCCCGATCATGACGTAGACTGCAATATTCGCACAGACTCGGAGTCATATGATAGGTGGACATGGGCGGTCCGGGAGTAAGATAAAAAGAACTGCAACGCTTTAGGGAGTTGAACGAAACGATGGCGTTCTCGGGCGCCCGTACTGCTAAAGGAGGTATGCAAACCTATCAGATACTCGCATCTGACCCACGTGAATGGCTTATCGAGGCAGAGCGCTGAAAAACGTAATCTGGAAATACCATTCCCAGCGTGTTCTTATGAGTACCCTACTAGCTGTGATACCTACTTATGCTCGCCTTGTGTGCACAAGCGCGGTGATCCACAGAATCCATCAGGATATGCTTCTATATCTCCGCTCTGCTTGATGGGAGCTCGTTACTGCGATTCTTGATATGTGATAAGCATAACTGGAGTCTAGGAGGCCGTTTAACCTGAAGCTCAGCATCGAGCAGGATGGTGCATGTTTGATTCAGGTGGTGTATTTTCTTCTTCCGCAGTCGTTGTTCATACTTGCTCCTCTAGATCTTTTTTTCACGCGATCCAAACTTGTAAGTGCAACCTGGCTCGAGCGGATATTCCGGGCCTGAGCACTCCACGTGTATTAATTTCATTCTGAGTATATTTTCCCCAGTCGCCCCACAAAAGGCGGCTGCCGATTAAATATGCTTGCTCCGGCTCTAGCCCCGACTCTCCGACCCGGAAATTGGACCTGATAACACAACGAGGCGTGTTCCAGAGATGGTGTGTACTAACAATGTATCATATCCGTTCTGCTGCGCCAGTGCTCTCACAAGAACGCAAGTAAGCACGCTACTTTTACTCGCGTTATTTTCTTCGTTTTCCACTCGTTTTTTTTTGACGTAAGATATCACTATCGGCGGTGCGGGATTGGCAGGTCGGGCACGCTCAATATTGGCCGTCTGTGCCTCGCTATTGAATCAGGACACCCACGATATTGTTCTGGAAGTCTATGATAATCACGATTGATATCTATTCAGGCTTGAAGTGCGTTATCATCTGAGACCCCTACTTGACCCTGTAGTAATCTGCAGTGTTCGAGTTGCTCCCTGACAAGTATATATGAGCTCATGGATCGCCGCAGTACGTTTTGTAGGCCCAATTGTCTTGGATCATATGTTGCGAGGTCCCATGTATGTAAGTTCAAACATACAAGTGTCACCCAATCATTCAACACGTTGTGCGAACCGACCTCACCCTGGGAAACCATCAATACGATCGCTCGCGAACTGTGGCGAACTACCGGAAACTGGGTAGCGCTCAAAACTGAACTCTTCTGCGCCAAACAGCAATATTCTAATCCTGACTCGGACTCGTTCCCAGACACTATATATTCTTAAATCCCTTGACTCAACGTGAGCGTCCTGTGCGAGTTTCAATTTGATAGATCTGATGGGCCACGGAGCACAGGAATATCTCCAAGTAAGTATTTTGAAGGATTAGCACATACCTACAATCATATGTTGTCGTCCCTTACGCCTCCGATTAATTGCGGCGCATGTAGTAAAATTTTATGCATCATTCAAGTCATGCCGTTTCTGGGCGAGTTGGTGGGTGACGGTCGTTGCCAATCCCCAGGGACAGGTCCTTGTTTATCTTCCCCTTATCTACTAATTGTCTGTAAAGGCGCGCTTGTAACTTTGATGCGCCCGGTTTAGTTTGGCGGGTTCACGTGTTGTTCGCGTGCCCTTAGCTGGACTTCTCTAACTTCTTTAAGGCTGTGTGTCTAAAATAGCGTTAACACGATAAAGTTTGGCCCGTTTCCTGTGAGTTGCTTGTAAGTTAGTGGGAGATTGCTGGTACGGCTTTCTGTCGTCTATCGTTCGGGACCGTCATGTATCATAACTCAAGGGTTTAGTGGAACTGAAAGGTTTAGTGGATAATGGAGGGGATTGAGCGGGAGTGATGCGGGAACCTGATGTCGTCATGCTAACTCTGGACGCTCATCAACGTTAGATTGCAATGTGGCGAAGACGATCAGTATACAAAGCACTAGTACTACAGAACGTGAATGTCAACGGCCGGAACCAAACACAAAGTACTCCATTTCAAAACGAAACCTCTCTATTTTTGACCACCGTGCCTCCTGCTTCATCTCAATGAACACGAGTTACAAGTGACAAAAGCACAGAGCTCACAAACTTCACAACGTGCAGCTTTGCCTATCTCCATGGCTAAGACTGGCAGTGAGTACTATATCATATTCATTCCGTTGTTGGCGGCTTTTATGCTTCTTCAGATGTTGCCGGCAAACCAAGAATCGATATTCTATGTTCAAGCCTTGCGGCATAATGACTCGAAAAGATTTCATCGTACAGGAATCATCGTAGCCCTGTTTTCCGAGTCATTCATACACAACGGCCATGACCCCACTACCAGTAGCTGCCACATCAGCGCCCATCGACATAATCGAACGTTCCGCTAGCCTGAAACGCAACTTACATCGCCGTGGATGTCGCACCTGCAAACCATTCATTAAAGAGTCCTTGAAAGCCCTTTTTCCATTTGTTTCGGAATGCCGCCCAACTTGGCCCTGGTGCCATCCCGCTACGCCACACAAGTACGCATCTTAAATCAGCTTGCGATTCCCTCGGGAACGTAGTACTAATTGGATGACAGCGGCACCCGCATTTCATTTACTGTTATGATAGCTCATCGAGAACAGTATTACTATTGGTGGCCACTTTCTGAAAAGTCAAGTTTTCTGATCGAAATACAGGTTCGGCAAATAGAGTGCAAGCCTCTGTTGATGTTGGCCGTCGTCACGGTATCTCAACGAGTCATTGGCAGAAAGCACATCATCGATCAAGATCGAACTGTTGATGCTCGTAAAAGTCTCCCATGTTTATTTGAAGGTTGGTTTTTTCTAGAAAGCCGGTACTGACATTAAGTAGTATGGATCGAACCACAAACAGTGCCTCATACGACGTCAATGTCTGCATCTTGTGAATCAGAATATCTTTATTTTGCCTCAACGAGTTACATCTGTTTTCATTCCTAAGGGTCGAAATCCGCTGGGAGCGCGCTGAAGGGTGTACTCCGTGGTGGCAGAAGTTTCAAATTTATCCATGATCACATCGGCTTCCACATCTTTTGCTGCCCGAGGTACAATGAGTTAGCTCCAAGTGATTCTCGATGATCTTCTACGAACTGGCTCGGCTGTCACGAATTTGTTGGTTAATTCAACCTAATTGCCTCAGGCTCTCGTTCTACGAATATTTCAGGGTGGTAGAGTAGCGAAATAGAAGATACCTCCAAACGTAACGCCCAGCCCAGTGCTATCCACAAGATGCATCGAAGTTAACAAACCCTTATTATCCACGCGTCGTCCGAGTCTAGGATAGCATTACACACAAGTCATGGCCTGCCTGCTAGTCGCACGGATATGACCTCAGGGATTCCTTATCATAGCCTGAACGTTTGATGTATTTTAGCTATACCAGAATCAGAATGCTGCATCAAGTACTTACTAGTACTGAATTGCCCTTCCAAACAGCTGGAAATCACGAGGTATCGCGAAACGAAACGTTGGTTAACGTTACAACGTTGACCACGTTGTAGGGTACGAGGGTTTCAGTCGGCGGCTCCGAAGAACCCCAGATGCCCTCAAATTTTAGACCTTCGTTTGATCGGCCGAATGAAAAACGAGCATCTGATCCGTCATGCGAGCCTGGCTAACCGAAAGAGGGATGTTGATAAAGCAATTTACCCTTGAAGAACCAGATTTGCTACGTACCTCGACTTCAGCTGATCGCGAGGCTTCGAGCCGAGGAGCGCGCCGTCACCCGTGATAACGTTCGTGCCAAGTTCGGGCCGCCTGCATAGGATTGAACGAGCTGGCTGTATCTTGCATTCAAATCCTAATCGGATTCCTGCACGTTATCCGCGGATCGACATCATCCAATAGCAACATGGGATGCATGCGCCACGAAGGTGGCATAGACCTTTGATCAGATTAGTAGAAAGGCCAGGACTTCTTCATCACAGAGCTACCTAAAACCTCCAGGCTAGACTGATCGTCGTGTCTGATCGTGCAGAGTTTTGGCGAAATCAACTTTCAAGGCTGGAGATGGTATGTGCCGACACGTGGGCGTCTTGAGTGCTAGTGGTGTATTTACCCGAAGTACGTCGGTCGCCGTGTTTTTCATTACAAAGCGCTTCAGTCGCGCTTATCCAATTATTGGCCGTTTCTCCCGTATTCCAGCCTCCTTCTCCCAAATTCCAGATCTATCTCGGAAAATCGGAAAGTCTGCCGATTCTATGACGCTGGTTCGTGTACGCTTAGACTGTTCAACACAGAATCACAGAAAAAGACTGGGAAACGTGTGCCGAGCCTCCCCGAGCCCTGTGAGTTTAGATATTTCATAAGCACCACAGATGATGATCTCTCTTCCGCAATGCCGCAAAGATGGTTCGTTTAGAGAGAGGCGCAAGATACAATGCTATACCAAATCATATGCTCTCCATTCTCGGCGTAGCATGCTCAGGAGCAGCATTTGCCGTCTTATGGGTTTGCAGAGCCTTCCATCTCAGGCTACTACGGTGCGGAGTCACTGCGGACCGAATTCAAATAGCATCGGTGGAAGATTTTGCTGTTATGGGCAAGAATTTGTCGTTGTAATTCCACATGAGTGTTTGCGGCGAGATTTCGGGAATGGTTCGGAGTCGTTACAGCAATGTGTGACAGCGCACTGTCGCACTTTCATACAAATACTGATCTCGGACTCCGGATGATAGATATACCCATCATTTGGGCGTATCAGTTTTTTAGCGGTTTGGCACGTTGGTTCGAAAGAGTATCTCAAAACGTGAGTACTGCCAATCCGAATCGTGGTCGATTCATGTCCATTTGGAATCCCTACTTACGTCGAACTTGTTGAAGTTCTTAGTGAACACGCGAGAATGAGGCAAGATGACATCAAACATGCCCTTGATAACGATGGCGGTGACGAAACTATGAACTGAACGCAACGTAATGGACTGGATACATGCCCGATATCATCCATGCTCAAACAAGTGCTTGTTTCATGGCGGAAAAGTAAGTATACCCTCATGAACATGCTGCGGGTACAGCTTTACTGATGTTCTCATATTCGCTTAATGTATCATCGTAGTGAGGACGGTATTCAAAGCTATGTGTTCATCTCTACGGCAAGCATGGTCTTTCTGATGCGCCCGCCGGCCCTTAATCTTGGTTATTTGCAGCCATGGATCATTTAGGAGTTTGATGGGGGTTCACGGACTCTGGGCGTGTTACACAGACAGGATCTCCGTGAAGGTATTTCCTACACTGCCTCTTCATGTTTGTGATGATACATAATTGATTTCTCAGGTTTACCCTGAACGGCGAATGTCCCCGAAAACACAGCGTTGATTTTACGTGGGGGACGCATGTTATTTTGCATGGATGGGATAAATCGCTGCTTTGTTGTGCCTAGGCATGAACCCTCGCTTGTTTTGTCACCCGCAGTATCGAGTACTCCCACTACGCCGGCGGCGGGAGAGACACTCCAGCTTTCAACATGCACACGGTTAGTCTCTGACCGCCGTTTATATCAGGGACAGGCACTGCGACTGTCTTGGCCGTCATTTTCATTCTAACATTCCGCACCACCCACTACATCACATTTTCCCCTACGACTTGTGGCCGTCAATCTGCCTACGATCTGCGGCCGCCGCCAAAGTCGACGGACACAGCCCCGGTGAGTTGTACTCATGACAAAACTCTTATGGAGAAATTGCAGACACGGTGTGCGAGAGCGAGTACTGTGAACTACCGGGGCCCTACTTGGTGATATCATTTTCTCTTCCTATAAGTCCATAGGCAGAGAAGTATGACATGACGACAGTTGGGGAGGCCCGCCTTGTTGGATTCCCTCTGCTTAGAAGATGGCGTAGCCGCAGAAGAAGGCGGTGTAGCAGTATCATCTAGCCCATTTCCAGATGGACAGGACCGAGTCAGGTTACGTACCTCGCACGCTGACAAAAGTGTTCTTCGTTGGAGTGCTGGGTTTATTCTTTTCCCCCCGCATGGTGCGACCGGTGTCAACGATGCCGGTACTCCGATGGTAAGCTCCTTCCGTTTGCTACTTCAAGTTTCCCTATATATTGTCATGTTTATTGCTAAATTCGACGTAGACGGGAATCGCATTGGCAGCTGTCTAAACATACTTGGCCACGTTAGTCCAGTGACCCTCAACCACGTGTTTCAACTGCTATCAGCACTGCACGCCATTTCAATAGAGGGAACGTGCTTGACGTTAACGCGTGAACGGTTTCCTTAAATCCAGGGAAATAATGTGTTCCTGGCACTCGAGTGCTTTACTCTCTGACTGCACTGTCCAGTCTTTGATTTTGGAGTCGCATCCGCGGTACCTAAATACCCTCGGGCTTGGACCTCCCATACCTCTCTGTTCCACGAGTGCTGTTAAGTGACGCCGGATTCGCCTTGCACGTCGAATTTCGTCCAGACTGTACGAAAAGCAGCGTGCAAGGCTAATCCTACGATTCCAGACGCTGCCAGAGAATCCCCTCACAAAGCCAGCAGAAAAAGTAACGACGAACTCGATACATACACCTCAGCCCCGAACGAAGTGGGTGACAATATCTCAATGTAATGCGAATACCCAAGCTAGACGGTCGGGCCCTCTACTTCGACTCACAAATTCATGGCACACCTATATAGTACCTCGCCCGATTTAATGGGCTGTCGTCACCTCGAACCTTGACCAGGAATTCGTTCTCGCGTACTTTCATAAGTATTGCCCAGGTTCATGCTTGGAAGATGCTCAAAACTAACGGTCCCTGAGGAAAGTGTTTGGAAGTCCTAGCAAAGGAATCCATCAAGGAACAAAATAGACTTTCCACAGAGACATGGCCTATGTATATGAGGGTTCATTTTGAGATTCGTATCGTCGTAGTAGCAGAACAGATGAAGATAAATACAGGATCCGGACTCCGCCTTAGCCTCAGGGATGGAAGTCATATCTAAGCGTCGCATTATGAACACCCAATACATTCGGAACACACCGGGTCCGCGTTCGCCTAGAAGCACTAAGGCCGGCAAGAAAGCGTACCTGCTCAAGCAAGTGACTCGTGAGCCACGTAGGATTACCTACGAGCGGTTCGGAGTAATGTTATATTTCGAAGTTTGTTCATGTTTTGAGATCGGGCAGTCGGCCCAATCAAGGCATTTGCTTAGTCATGTTTGAGACTTGTAGCGGGAGTTTGTTGGGAGTCGCCGCCTTCGTCGTTGACACACTCATTCCATCATGCCTTTCGGTCTTATCATCGGAACTGACCGTGCAACTGCTCTACAAGTATGTCTTGCTCATGTGCTACTCTTCTTCTGTGCCCAACTCACTTTTTTTGTGCAGAAATCCATTCAGGATGAACTCACAGCTCGTAGTTTCAGTCCCGATGCTGGTGAGCGCTCAGTCTTGTTTACTGCTAGGTCTTTGACACTCACTATTGGAACAGATCCTGTCATGGCGGAATATATCACCATTATGATTATAAACAATAAAACTGCAGGTTTGTGGTATCAAGAGCTCCTTTGCTGACACTGGCTTATCGCATTGTACAGCACAAATAACTTCGGAACTCATGGATTGTGAGTGGCGTTTTTTTTGCGTCCCAAATCTCATTACTGACTACGTCTACAGTAATTGGTCCAGAATTTGGTATGTTCCTTAGTGCCCTGTGCGTTGTGGCTCGTTGACAATACCACCAGATCCCAGCTTCACAGATTGGCTCTTTGCTGAAGCTGCCAAAGGCGCGCCGGAATCTGAAGCTCCGTCCGCTGCATCTTCAACACCTGTAGAAATACCTAATGAATCAAAACCCGTCACCCAACCACCCTCCAGCGACCCAGCGCGCCGCCCGCCTAATGGTCCTCGAGCAGGTGCACCACTATATCAACAAGCCATATCTTCCGCTCTTCCTTCGACATCTCAAAAGCGTCTCCGCTCACCCTCACCATCTGCACATCCAGCAAAGTCCCGACGCACAGACCTACTACCCACTGGTCCCCGGGCCATGCAGAACCCACCACCGGCACAACGTAGTCTTCTTGACCGCGTCGGCGGTCCAGGACCCGGTCCGCGCTTCCAAGGTGGAAGAGATGAAGTCCAAGTGCGTATTGACAACATCACGAACGCCTCGCCCGACCCAAGTGCGATGATGAGCTTCCCGAATGGTATGGGTATGCCCGAAATGGCTGTAGGCATGGGGATGCAAGCAAATCCGTTAATGCTACAAGAAATGATGTTGAGTCAAATGGCTCTTATGGCGCAGATGGCGAACTCGATGGGCATGCTCAACCCCGGTATGGGTATGCCTGGGTTCAACCCAATGCAGCAGGGTGGAGATGCAGCGATGTTCAATGGTGGCGCAGGTGTGAATGGACATAGCTTCCCACAGAATGGGGTGAATGGCAGAGGTCGGGGTGCAGCGAGAGGGGGTCGGGGGCGAGGAGGTTCACGGGGCGGGCACATGGGCTCGTCACCTGCTCCACCATCTATCGAGGAAGTGCCTACACCTGTGTCGGTTCCCGCTTCGGTAATCGCTGAACCCGCACAGTCCACACCAATAGCGGCGCCCATTCCGCTTCCCGCAAGCGCCTTGTCATCCAATGCACCTCTAAAACCAGCATATGCCCTCCCCGAACGCCCGCAATCACCTACATTGTGCAAATTCGGGATCAAGTGCACTAACTCGCAGTGCCGATATTCCCACCCATCTCCTGTCGCTACTGCTGAGAGTGGCGTTGTACTAAGCACCGAGGCGTGCGAGAAGGGCAAGGATTGCAAAGACAAGGACTGTATCAAGTCGCATGTCAGCCCTGCTGTCAAAAACCCTGGTACGTTGTTTTTTTGTCTTTTTGTAAAAACAACCCAATAACAGTCGCAGGCGCAACTCACACCCCAGTCCCAGCTACCACTACTACCACTGGGCCTCCTCAGCACACCGTCGCATGTCGTTTCGGTGGTGCTTGCACACGCCCAAGTTGCCCGTACACGCATCCTCCAAAGACAAATCACTTCGCGCAACAATGTCGCTTCGGTGCAGGTTGCACGCGCGCATCTTGCCCCTTCCAACACCCGGACGGGCGGGTTCTCCCCTCTACATTTCACCGCGGCCTGTCGACGACTGCACCCCTTGTAAACGTACAGGCGCCAGAGACGGGGAGCATGGGTGCTCAAAGTCATCACAGAAGCGTCACATTTAACAAGCCGCAGGATGTGAAGGAGAAGCTAAAGGATATCGAGAAACAGAAGGAGGCTGCGAAGAGAGCAATTGATGAGGCCAAGGCTGCGGGAGGGAAGAAGGAAGAGACGAATGCAGTCCCAATCGCTGTATGACCGGGGGAAATTTCGCCCGACTGTCCTTTATTTAGAGGGAAACGTTCTCCATCAGCTGCTTTTCGTTAAATCCCTAACTCGGACACAGCCAGCGACTGCTTTTATTATTTTATCGTGGCACTCATGTAGTATTTGCGTTGTTTTTTATATTTGTGTCTACTACTCGCTAGGTACTGCCGTTCTCGAACTTCGAAGGCGCTGATTATGCCGCCCATCTGGGTCCTCGATGAGGTTCCCGAATATCTTGCTGCGAGCGAAAATGTTGACACTGAAACTTGAGCTTGAAGCTTCGTGTAAATGTCGAGAGGAATGGTGATCGCGTCCTGTAATTTATACGATGGTAAATTAAGTGTTCTAGGATATCGTTTAACGTCACAATATATAAGAGATTACCAGGTTGCCGCGACTCCCCTTGAGCTTCATTTGTAGGTCAGACTTTTGCCCTCTTCCGCCTCCCTCTCTTCTACAGTTGCTTCCACATAGTCCTCAATCACTTATGACCTCCCACGCAAGCTAAATTGAATAGCCGCAGAGATGGAAAGCGCTGCAAAACAGAATTGCTTACCCAAAACTGTAGCTTTCCATAGCTGGTGCGCGCTCCTTCGCCTGCACATCCATCCATGACACACCTTTAGATCGCTTGTGGTACTCATCCGGAGAATTTTTATAGTGCTCCGTAGGATAAGATGAGCAGAGAACACCAGTTACCGTGACAAGTTGGATGATTGTCCATGATAACTTTCTTTAGTTGGTACGTCACTACTCTCTCGTTAACCACCTTTGTCAACGACTTTCTTTCTTCTAGAGGCCTGACTACGGGAAACTACCTTTGTCACGAGTCCTCCCTTTATTTCTCTAGTATGTGCCTCCAGAAATTTATACATACACTGAACGAGAATCAGCTTGAAATAGCTCATGGAGTCTCGATTTACCAGTCTTTCACAACTCGCTTGTCTTCCTAACGCTTTGACACTGACACTATGTATTCGCCACCAGATGATATCATGCAAAAGTACAGTGTGAACCACGACGAACTATGTATGACAGATGAGCACCATCTCTTACCTATTACTAGTGATCTTAAGGCTCAATCGATCGGTGCGGCGATATTTATCTTCGTTCTGGCCGCTGCTGAATAGGTTATATAGCACGAATCAGACTGGGGAACACAAGATAACCCTGTCAGGGACAAATGGATGAGCAGGAGTTATTCCTGATGGCGAGGTATGGTAAATACACGACTTGTGAGTGATACAAGTTAGAACGGGATGTATTATGACTGATGGTAAAATACTATCTCTCAAGGTACGAATCGTGAACATTTTAAGCGTGATGTTTTCGTTTTGCCACTTTTCCTTTGGTGGCTAACTGCGGCGAAGGCAGGTGATTGGAATGCTTACCTTCTTGCTTGTCTTCTGCAGGAAGGGGAGCTATCCCATTCCCCTGTCAATGAGATGCGAGTCCCTGATAGTCACCATCGGCCCGGTGGAAAACCGAACTGCGAGCGAAAACTCACGGTGCGTCTCTTCCGTCGAAAGACAAGGTGGGTGGGCCTGTTGGTCCTGTTGACGGTAGCCTATTAACCAAGTGGTCAGAAATACGAGCAAGTCAATGACAGGGGAGCGCATACGTTGGTGTCATAGCCTTAAATACTCGCTCTGTTCGGATCTGATCCTCCTCGCCTTCTTCGTATATCCAATCTTTTGGCCATTTGGGCGCAATCTCCCTCCAGTACGTGAAGTATGCCTCTAATCTCTCACGGCGCCCCCGCTCAGCGCGTATAACGTCCCGGACATTCCTCGCCTGTTCTTTCAGCCCCGCCGCTCTCCGGCGGAGAGCAGTGGCTTGGGCAAGAACACGTTGATCGTCGGCTGTGATCTGCCTCATGATTTGCACAGCCCGGTTGAGCATGTGTGGTTCTTCTGGAGGGGGCATTCCTGTACGTGGGCTGACGGGGAATTTGTCACATCCCTGCTGACTAGGACTTTCGTAGGACAAGTAGGAACCACCTGGATCACTGGAGTTATCATCCACAGCTATGTGCCCCTTGGGACTTTCGAGTAACGGTGAAAGGCTTGGTGACTTTCCCGCTAGATTTTGAAGCGCTATGCCAGAAGCATTTCCGACTGCTTTTACCGGAGTAACGGCTGCTAGGATCAGAATGGATTTGGGGGGATCTTCCTGGATGATGGGGTAATCAACTGGACAGGTGTTAGATTTCTTGCACTACGACGCGAGGTATGATGCTCACAACTTGTGTCCATAGCTAAGTCTATGACCTGTCTTGAGGGACCAGCAGCAGGAGGACCCTCCGTCGTTCGGGACTTCTTTCTCGGGGGCCCTTCGCTCTCTTCGTCTTGACTGAACGATCGTCAGCATCATTTATAACATTGAAGATGAAGCGGGGCACGTACAGCAGCGGAACAAACTTGCTGAGTTTTACTAACTCTCTAATTATCGCCGCGCTCTTCATGTTCGCTCTTACTTTATGAGCCTATTTTTAGGTCAGTGGCTAGCCTTCAGGACCACAAATGCAATACACACCTTAGCTACCTTTTGCAGCTGTGCTCGGGACAATTTGGCAAGAGTGGCTTCGCTCATGTCAAGTCCCCCAGAACCTGAAGCTGGGATTGGGTTGTTGGATGAGTGAACATCATGAAGGAGGAGTGCTTCAGTCATTTTGTGTAGTGTGGTGAAAGCACGGGTACTCCAATGAAAAGATGTGGTACTAGATCAAGTTGGAGATATGTTTAGGGAGGGTGGAATTAAATAATATAATGAAGGACTAGTCAAACTTGAACTGTGGTGCTTTAAATTTGTTTGCGTGATGTGGGCTTCTGTGGAATGACATCTACAACTTAAATACACGATGTATGCTTGTACCTATAGAACAATAGATTAGATCATCTCAGTACAAAAGTCCGCGGTCAAAGCAAGGATCCGGGAACAGTTTCACTTGTGGCAACAAGAAAGCATAGTCAAATGACCAACGTCCCAGCTGCAATCAACAGTGAGCGGCACCAGGACCTTTGTCGAGAGAAACTACATGATGACGAAGCCTGGGAGACTTAGGGAGAAAAAGAGAAAAAAAATAATGACAAGAGTGGGATTTGAACCCACGCCCTCTTACGAGGATGAGAAACCTGCTTTGCAGGCAAGCTTACGCTTGAGTCACACGCCATAGACCGCTCGGCCATCTTGCCTTACATTAAATCAGACAATTGATTTACAAGTGTGAGGCGTGGCAAAACATGCAGTTGCAAAGAATTTGGAGAACGATGAGATGCTTTCATCTAGTAAAGCCTTATTGCTTACGATCTCGAATTCGGCTCGCTCGAGGGTACCAGTCCAAGGCGCGCAAGTAAAAAACCATATCGAGAACATTCAGTGACGCCGCGTTCTTCTCGAGTTCCGCTGTGTTTGACTACGAGATCGCCAAGTGATCGCCAGGGTAGATCATCATCTCAAATTCTGCACATCATGCCAGGCTGCAATTAGCTGCGACTTGCAAGACGATATCCACCTTCCTAGGGTCTTTCTTGAATGTGATACAGTTCCTTATTCATATGACCTGAACCACTCAATGAAGGTCCAAGCATGCCGGCTCTGGAGAACAATAGGTAAGCACACCGACTGTTCGGATTTATGTCTTGTGGACTCTAATTGTGGCCTTTTTAGATACATCAAGACTCAAGTGCTTTTAAAAGCAATTTCATATCCCACACCTCGAACGCTCAGAATCTAGCATGACGAAACCTGCACAACGTCCCTGCACCTCAAACGACAACCCTCACTTCCCAATCAGCCAATGGGAGAACCGTGATTCCTTGTGCACATTCACCGGCCTCGTCGACAGCATGCCAGTCCTCGAGGCCCGGGTTCTAGAGGCAGAGCAGCTCCTTGACCGCGCTGCTACCATTATGACTAGGGTGTTACCCGATCTACGCGAAACGTGTTTAATGCGCGAGCAACTAGAGTTCTCTTATTTCGAGAAAATGAAAGTCAAGAAGGAACTTTGGGATGGAACAGCACAGCTGGAGAGGGAGCCGCGCAGGTATAGGATCAGATGGCTGAAAGGCGAGAGGAAGAAGGCGCGCGTGGCGACTTGGGAGCAAGCAAATCACTCCAATAGAGACAATGATCTTTCGGAGTCGGACTATTCAAAATACTCGTAAGTTTTGTTAACGAGGGTCTCCATCCTGCGTACTGATCGCTTTGCAGAACGAAATCTGATTCCGAGGGGACATTGTGGTCCACAGATGAAAGTGTAAAGCCCTCAAGTCGCAAGAGGTCGCGAGATGAAGAGCCGGAGAGGAAGAAGAGAGCGAAGAAAGATTCAACTTGACCCGAAGTTTCTATGCCTTACATTGTATCAAAACACATCTCTCATCTTACTACCCTAGTAAACTCTGTTAAACATTCAATTGTACTTAAACCAGCGACGAGTGCTCAAGTAACGGATCCAGTTGACTGGGCCTTGAGGTGTTCAAATTACATCGTTGTGTTATTTGTGGGTGAGAGAAACAAATTATCGTGCGAGTCTTTGATGTGGTTAAACCATTCAGGAAGCGCACGATGCAAATCCATCGGCGGTAATGTATGTAATAAACCTGGGGCTTGCCGCTTGGTTGGAGTCGCAAGTCACGCAGGCCCCAGGCTACAGAGCTTTGCGGACCAATATGTGACAGTTCTGCGATCCAACTGTGATAGTTTTTCCCATTAATCTACGAATTTAGTTCCTTCTATCGAGAAGGCTGCTCCGGAAGTATTGCGGGAGGAAGGCGCCTGGAACCAATTGCGGCTGTCACCACGGAAAGCGAGGCTAGCGTCGCTTGTGTCTCTCCTAGATTTGGACGCCGTTATGCGCCAGGAGCTAGAGGACAGGCGAGACTCTTCAAGGTGCGGTCGCAATTCATGAATTGCTGATTTGCCTTCATTGGCTCTCCATTGATTCAGAAGTCCTTGTACTATTTGAGACGAGCTCAGGGAGTACCCAGGGATTTCCACGATCTCCTCAAACGACCTAGTCTTCCGCAGGAAAACAAACAGAAGGAAGACATTAGTTCCTTTTGCGCTGAGCAGATAGCGGCTTTTTGCCCAGCTTACCATTCATAGAAGTCACAGCCACCGTTGTAGGCGCAACTGAACTCCTGTACGCTATGGATCCATCTTCCTGTGAGGTATTGCTACCAGAACAGCAAACAGTGCTAAGTGTTGGAATAATCGGAACACCAAATTTCAATGCTCTTACTCTGACATGCTGATCGGAGCCAATATTGGACACCTTGCGCCCCATCGAGCGGACGACCACGTAAAATAATGCACGTCCGACAGGAGGGCTCCAAGGGACATATTCTTTTCTTCAAAAAGTCAAAGCTTGCTGACCTGGCAGCATGCTATTCATTTAGGATGCTCATTCTTCTGAAGTTATTGAGCTCGAGGACTTTGTGGCCCCAAGCCCCTCGTAATTCTCGCCCGGAGCATCATATTTGTCTACACCCTCTTGGACACACAAACTTTTTGCAGCGGTATTTCTCACTTGCTGGCTGGTTGGGACATTACTGCATAATACACGCGCTGTTGCAATGACACTGATCGCTGTACTCTTTCAAAATCCAGTGTGATGTCAGTTTTCTCCGACCTGCAAGATTCACCACGATGACAGTGAGCGACCTGCCATGTCGAACTGCAGCCAGGGTTAAATTCTATTACTGGAGATCATTATCGGTGGTCTCATGTCACTCGCATTCTAAACTTGAAGCTTGTTGCAGACCTAGCTTAGCCGGCAGCACTGACCATACTAGCTGATTAGTACGCGATGAACTTTCCGCTTTAAGAAGCTTCTCATGAGTCATGTTAGGTCACGTTGTACGCGCAAAGGTTAAAAAGAAGGAAAAAGCCGTCTCTACCTGTTGTTTAGCTGTCATCACAAGTTGCCCATCGCCGCTAAGTGTGGATTCGAATTCCCTGTTGAACCGCGAGAGCGTGTATGATTTTCACCCAGAACACACGCGACGAGTACGTCCTCAATATCTGATTGCCGACTCATATTGAAATTTGTGCTCCATCATCATAGCTATCTTAGTGACCTCGTTTTTTCCCTCCTTGCAGCTTGAAAGCTTGAAGACCTTCCTAGCTAAGGCTGTATAGAAAAGGATGGCCCTTCCTATAAGGTCATCTCTTCTCCGTCAATTTTCTAGATGTAAAAATATTGGAGCTCGCTCTTTTCACTCCACTCCACATCGGGCACTTTTCTTTCCTACACATACCTTGCGAGCAGTAGCTGCGCCAGCAGTCGGCTCATATGTCCCCAAGGATGGCGAACATGTCCTTAACTCGCCATCAGAGATTGCTCGCAGAATCTCTGCCAAGGTTCTTCCCAAGCTTCCCCGTCCAGATGTCAAAAAGGTTGTCATCGTCGGCAGTGGTGGCCTCAGCATCGGTCAAGCCGGCGAGTTTGACTACTCGGGCTCGCAGGCACTGAAAGCTTTGCGTGAAGAAGGTGTCGATGCCGTTCTCATCAACCCTAACATCGCAACCTGGCAGACGTCTCATGAATTAGCATCCGAAGTCTACTTCCTTCCTATCACCGCGGACTACGTTGCATATGTATTGGAGAAAGAGCGTCCAGATGGTATCCTTCTGACTTTCGGAGGTCAAAGTGCACTCAATGTTGGCATTGAACTGGACAAAATGGGCGTCCTCGAGCGCCTGGACATCAAGGTCCTCGGAACTCCGATCCGTACTCTTGAAGTTTCTGAGGACCGTGAACTTTTCGTGCAAGCTCTCAAAGGTACCTCTATTCGATTTCTGTTGGTTGATCATATCACAACCTTTTTTTAATTTCAGAAATCGACATTCCAGTTGCACAGTCCACAGCTGTATCTACCGTCAGCGCAGCTTTGGATGCAGCAGAGCAAATCGGTTATCCCGTCATCCTTCGGTCTGCATTCACCCTCGGTGGTCTCGGTTCTGGTTTTGCCAACAACCCCGACGAGCTTCGTGATCTCTCTGCAAAGAGTTTGAGTCTGTCCCCTCAGGTTCTGATTGAGCGGAGTATGAAGGGCTGGAAGGAACTCGAATACGAAGTTGTTCGTGATGGTGCTGATGTAGGTTGATTTCCGCTTTCTTGTGCTTTATGAAGTTGAATGCGTATGCTCTTGTTAGAACACGATCATCTGCTGCAATATGGAGAACTTCGATCCTCTTGGTACACATACTGGTGACTCGATCGTGGTTGCACCGTCTCAAACTCTCCCGGACGACGAATACCACATGCTTCGCAGCGCTGCTATCAAGGTCATCAGGCATCTTGGTGTCGTCGGCGAGTGCAACATCCAGTATGCACTTAACCCCACGTCCAAGGAATACTGTGTCATCGAGGTTAATGCCCGGTACGTTCATGGTCCTTTTCATATTTTTCTACACCTAACACAACTTTTCACAGTCTAAGTCGCTCAAGTGCCCTGGCATCTAAAGCTACTGGTTATCCGCTTGCCTACACTGCTGCTAAAATTGCCCTCGGACATACCCTTCCGGAACTACCCAACGCAGTGACCAAGACGACTACGGCTTGCTTCGAGCCTTCTCTTGATTACATCGTCACTAAGATACCCAAGTGGGACCTTGCAAAGTTTTCATCGCAGGTCAACCGCGAAGTTGGGTCCTCAATGAAGAGTGTTGGGGAGGTCATGGCCATTGGTCGCACATTCGAAGAGAGTCTCCAAAAGGCCATTCGCCAGGTCGACCCGCGGTGGAAAGGCTTCGAGGCATATGTTCAGCCTGAGGATCTTGATCGTGCTTTGTCGAAGCCCACGGATATGCGACTCTTTGCTATTGCTTATGCGATGTACAACAAGAATTACAGTGTTGACCAGTTGCATGACTTGACCAAGATCGACAAGGTAAGGAGTTCGTTCACGACCGAGAGTCACTGTATTCACTCTGTCCCTAGTGGTACCTCTACAAAATAGACAATATCGTTCAGACGAGCAGGGCTATCAAGACAGTTGGCTCCATCGAAGACATTGACTTCGAACTCATGAAGCAAGCCAAACGCATGGGCTTCTCCGATGGGCAGATTGCTGATCTCGTTGCCTCGACTGAAAACATCGTCCGCGCTCACCGCAAATCCCTTGGCATCACTCCCTTCGTCAAACGTATCGATACTCTGGCCGCTGAATACCCAGCGCACACGAACTACCTCTACACGACGTACAATGCCTCTGAGCATGATGTTGAGTTCGATGAGCATGGTACCATGGTTCTTGGAAGCGGTGTGTATCGCATTGGCAGCTCAGTTGAATTCGACTGGTGTGCAGTTACTTGCGCACGGAAACTGAGGGATATGGGCAAACGCACGATCATGATCAACTACAACCCCGAAACGGTATCGACAGACTTCGATGAGGCTGATAGGCTTTATTTCGAAGAGCTTGGCTACGAGCGTGTCATGGACATCTACGAACTTGAGCAATCTCAGGGTGTCATCGTCAGTGTCGGTGGTAAGTTTAGAATTTTTGACAAGCATTCCGAGCAGGAAACTAATGTCATGAACCAGGTCAACTTCCCCAGAACATTGCGCTTCGTCTCAAACAGGATGGCGTCAAAGTGCTTGGTACTGATCCAGAAAAGATTGACACCGCCGAGGACCGCCACAAGTTCTCCTCTGTCTTGGATAGCATCGGTGTTGATCAACCCGAGTGGTGTGAGGTCACGAACCTGGAAGCCGCGAAAGCCTTTGCTCAGAAAGTTGGGTGTGTATCTTTAGTTAATGACTAAGCCCACTTGCTGATCCCCCTATTTAGCTATCCGGTTCTCATCCGCCCGTCGTACGTTCTGTCCGGTGCTGCCATGAACGTTGTCTACGAAGAGTCTTCCCTGGAGTATAATCTTTCCGCTGCTGCTTCTGTTTCACCCCTGCACCCTGTCGTCATTACGAAGTTCATCGATAATGCGCAAGAGATCGATGTCGATGCCGTTGCACACAAGGGCAAGCTCCTCGTCCACGCTGTCTCTGAGCACGTTGAAAATGCGGGTGTACACTCGGGCGATGCCACCCTTGTCCTACCCCCGTTCTCGCTGACAGAGACGGACATGGCGCGCTTGAAGACCATCGCGGAGAAGGTCGCTGCTGCATTTGAGATTTCTGGTCCCTACAATATGCAGGTTATCAAGAAGCCAGCTGGCGGGCCCAATGACGAGCCTCAGCTCAAGGTGATTGAGTGCAACCTGCGGGCATCGCGGTCGTTCCCCTTCGTGTCGAAGGTCCTTGGCCATAATTTCATTGAGACCGCAGCGGCAGCTATTATGAACCACGATGTTCCAGAGCCTGTTGATCTGATGAAGCAGAAACTTGATTATACTTCTATCAAGGTTGCTCAGTTCTCTTGGACTCGGCTGGGAGGCGCAGATCCCTTCCTAGGTGTGGGTGAGTATGGGTTGCATTCGGTCTATCTTCAGAGTTCACTTTGTTGACTATCTGGTATAGAAATGGCCAGCACTGGT